AGCAAAAAGTAAGGATGAAACAAAATGACTTTCTGAATTGTTCTGATGTAAATGCTATGCATGTAACTCGCGTTTTCGATTGATTACCTGACGTCTGCAATAAATAGTGATTCAATATTCGTCTAATTGGGTGCCTTGCTCATGCTTTGTTTGCTTTCTCTCATAATTGCTCATTAAGATCACTGTTGGAATCATACCCGTCTCCTTGCCATTCACACATGACAGATTCAGTTCAAAACCGAAAATATTTTAGCAAATCGAAAGATATCAAACCAGATGCAACAAAAGAGAACACACCGGAAAAATTGACAGAAAACACCCCGGGTGGGTGTATAGACCCAGAGCGACCACTGTAGGATGAAATAAAATGATTCTGGAATTGTTCTGATGTATATGCTATGCATGTAGCTCGCGTTTTCGATTGATTACCTGGCGTCTCAAAGAAGTTACGACATTATCTCGACAGAGTTTACTGTCTATTCTGCTCAGCTCCATGGTCAAGCTTATAACCTTTCAAAGTATAAATATTTTACTCTAGAAAAACTCATTATAACAGCTAATTAGACCAACGTTAGGTCAGTTCAATTCTTTAAGAACACATGTCTCTAAGTATTGTTTCATAATACCATCAAGCAATGAAAAGCTGTAAACATTGATGCCACGAAGTACTTACTTGTGCCCTCTCCTGGTCTATGAGTTGTTCCATGTCTTGCAGTCGGTTCATCAGAGAACCGTGACTCTTCTCCAAAGATTGTCGCACTTCCACTTCTCTATCGAGCTGGGACTTCATCTACATAGAAAAATCGACCAATTGATAAATACTACAAAAAACCAGGCCCAGTGATCAAGTTTTGATGTAAAACTCACTTCTGCCACTTTTCGGTTGCACTTGTTCTTTGCATTTTCCAATTTCTCTATCCTAGTTGAGTCGTTGAGCTAAAAAAAAGAAATACTATTTGATCAAACAAAATTTAGGTTATTTTCAACCCGATTTTTTGTTCCAAGGGAGCGCCAGTATGTCTCAATCCTGCAGAGAAATGAATTTTAGTATTCGATTGTTACTTTCTGACTCATATTCAGGTACTATAAGGGACTTCGTACAATGATAACTGATAAATCTTATTCTAAATTTTTTGTGAAGAAAATTTTATTGCTATTTCACCCAAAAATATCAAGTGCAATATACTTCTAGACCTCTAAAAAGAAGTGCTGAATAATTTTACCCTGGCAGCATGATTGAGTTCAATTTGTGTCATGAGTGATTTGTTTTCCTCCTTGAGCTTCTGTTTGGCGTTATTCGCAATGTGTAGATCTTCTTTGTATCGATCCAGCTCCTTTGTAACTTTCTTCAACTAAAAAAATTACACCATTTGCCATGCCGAAACAAATCTATTACAAACGAATAGAGAAAACAGGTCTTTCCATTGTCAGGCAAAAAATCGAAAACCTTACCGAGTTCGAACCGCGGATCTTTTTCTTCGCAGGCATGTGCATTATTTCTACGCCACAGAAGCGGATTGAAACCTTAATTTTGAATTTAAATAAACCGAGGAATCAAATGATTCATGTGATTTTGTTAAATAAGTTGCTACTCTGATAATTCTTTATTCCGATTGGATAACGCCTACTGATTGCAAGCGTTAACATCGACTAGAGACGCAGAAAAACGCCAATGTTTCATGTGCCATTTTTGAGAACATTTGATAAATAGATGAAAAAAAATTCAGTGAAACTAAAACTACGAATTTTAACAGAAGCGAAGCAGCGCTTCGCAAACACTAGCAAAAACATGACAAAAAGCAGATATATAAAGTGCAAAAAGAAAATGAGAAATAAGCCTCAAATTAGCAAAAATTCGGCTAGGGCTGAGATTCGAATCGGCGACCTTGAGATTAAGAGTCACACACACTGACCACTCAGCCAAGGAAGCTTAATAGTAAACAGAAGATAGAAAATTAAACACTAGCCACCGAGGCGGAACAATTATCAGAATCGTCAATACTACCAAAAAAATGAATAAATTATGAATTAAAAACTCTCGATTAAATTACTCAACTTATGCATAAAATATTAGCTTCTTTGGTAATAATGTCTATTCTTATTTTTAATTTACCGATTAGCTTATAAAAGTAAAAATTTTCTGTTTTACTGCTCTTGGACCCATTCTGCTTATTGTCTGGCCACTACTACCCACAAATAAAGCAGAGAACAGATGCTATGCACCTTCCAATTCTACAAGGAAATTTCCAAATAAGTGAACACTGCTAATGAACACTTTTATTTGCGAGAAAGGTTAGAATAAAAAAAGTTCTTTATAATACACTAAGCTGAATTTAAGTCTTGGTAGACATGTTAACTTAGTAGACATGTTAAAATCGAAAATCCAACATCGATGAAGATTGAATAGATAGCAATGAACCCAATAAAAAGGAATGTAATAACCATTGATTGGTTTCGCCCAAAAAATCCAGAAGTATTTGAACTGCAGATTCTTTCATAGGACAAAACGGAACGTTACTACGCACCAGCTGAGTTAACCCATTCGCTGAAATAACATTCAAAAATGTTGAGGTACGAAAAACAATTCTGCGTCAAAACTTTTAAACAAAGTCTGGTTAAGTACCATTGATACAATTTAAACAAAACCGCAATAAGATGACTGTGTTTCTCCAGGAAGTTTAATAAGCTTGCAATAAATAAATCAAAAAAGCTGGACCAAAACATTTAGGAATTTCGACCGACCGATTGCGCTGCAACTTTTTTTAGCAACGAATATACGACCAAGTTTCCATCCCCCCAACGCCGTTTGGGGCGGGGAGGGGGGATGTTAACTTTGTTCTAAGTTGGGAATTTTCAGCCAATCAGAATCGAGCATTTTACATACAGCGCTAAGCAAATTTAACCCGAATTAAATACTGGGGTGGAAGACCTTAACTTGGTCTATCTGGGCGGGAGGATGATAACTTGATACCGAATATGATTACAGCTTAGAGGGTAAACTACATAGCACTACACAAGGAAACTCCGAGCCTAACCATCACTATACACAAATCTGCATAAGTATAATCTGCATTATTTGTTACAGACAGGGCCAAAAAATGTCGACAGAAACAAAAAAAGTCAAAAAGTCGCAACAAATTTTTGACAAATACTTTTTAATCAATTTCTAAGACGTTCTTGAAAATTAATTGTAAATCTTCGTTCATTGATTTCTATAGTTGGACGAATCAACCAATAACCGAAAATCGGCGAGACAAAAATTCCTATTGTAGAAACGCTGCAGTGCAAATTTGCTAACCTATTGTAGAAACGTTGTAGATACACAAAAAATGAATACATACATGCTACACGTACATAGCAATGACGAGTAAACATTTATTTTACAATTTCTATTTTTCGCCAATCTGTTAGCAAATTTGTTTCCGGGGAAAAAAGTCTAGTACCGCCCAACTTCTGCAGAAAATCCAATTTCGCCCAAACTCTGGAAAACAAAACTGTAATGTCAACTATTGAAAACTAGCATTTAATTAGACATTTCGGCACTTCAGGAAAATGCAGAAATCAGATAAAAAATATCTATTTCATGTGCAAATAGCTAATGTTTTCGACTACAGTCAATTGGAAAACAAAATTACAAAAATATAAAATTTTAGGATATTTTTAAGCATTTTTTGGGAGGGCGCATTGAGCTCAGCTTCCTGAAAAACATCCGCTTGCAAAATTCAACGAAATCATATTTTCCTATACCGCGCAATATGCCGAATAGTGGTCAACTGAATTCATCTACATATTAGTGTTAAATTGCTTAGGACTTTTCTCACCAATTGAAAAACGTTTCGAAACTTTTAAATTAAGCTTTTAAACTAAACGGTTTTTACTATAAAAGCTGATCCGATGTTCGCACTCATCAAACACATATGAGAAGCAGTATTTTTCAAATAGATTTTTTCGCTTATAGTCAATCGATATTACGAAAAGTTTTATTAAAGCAACCCCCCCCCCCCCCCCCCCCCCATTTCATAAAATAATCCATTAGACAACGAGAGAAATACTTGCCTCGTTTTCGAAAACATCGCGAGTTTTGCTGTCTGCCCTTGCACTCTTGGAAGAGTTGAGCTCGTCCGGTTTCTGGAACGCGACTGCTTTTTCTTTCAAATCCTGTTTTGCTTGGATATTGCAGAAATGCAGCTTTAAGCTTTGCACGGTACTTTCCGTGTTTGTAAGCCTAAATATTTAGGTTTGTTTTACTTGATCCTCCCAAAACGAACACTAAGTAAAAATGTTTCTGGTATTTTGACCATTCAGCCGGTATAGTATAAAAACAGACATAAATGGTATAAAGAACCAATATGATATCTCAGTAATTTAAAACTCACTTGGTAGCCAGGTTCTGATATGCCTTTTGGATATCCTCGCATTGCATTTTGGTGAATACGGACAGGTTTGAGTAATTCTGAATGCTATCCTTTGGACTGCTTTTGTTTTCATGATAACGTATGCTATTGTCAATGTCAGAAATTCGAGACCTGGTTTGCTCTAAACAACAAAAGTACGACAATTAGATCAAAAGGACTGCTAATATTATAATCCTAAATAAAAATTAGCTGATGGTATGGAAAAACATTCACCAGCAGTTTTTATGAAGGTTTCGATATTTTTCACACGTGGGGCGAAACATTAAACAAAACTTTTTGTATCACGGTAAAGGCTTGAATGTTCCGACTGCCTTTTAAGGTCTTTGGAACAGTAATAACATTAAAAAATTGAATGTAAGAAAAAAAAATTAAAAAAAAATTAAATATGAGATTTTTTGTGAAAATCATCCCCGACACTCCATATAAAGCACAAAGTGATATATTTAGCTCCTAGTAACAAATCAACTATAGGAAACAAGCTTCCTGCAACTTATTTGGAACAATTTCTAAGACGGATTTAATCTCCGCTTACACGTTAATAGCGCGAAATATATCGCGCGTTAATTGTCCAATCGGCCAAAATGGCAATCTTCAAACCCCCATAACTTAACAAAACATGATCACAGGTGGAATATCTTTTCAAATTTAAGCTCAGGACAACAAAACCTTTTGAAAAATATGAAAAAAAATCTGTCAAAAATGGTTTCTTAAAAAGTGGAAATTTGTCTAAAAAAAACCACCCTGAGCACAAATATTGTTCCGACTTCATTACAAAAGTCGGAACAATAACTAGCACAATTTCTCTTAAGAACCGTAATAGCATAAGACAAAGCCCTTTACGCGGAAAACAAATCAACATTATACACAGAGGACAAGCTTTGCAACACTGGTAATACAATAAAATTATTGCAATACATAGGGTAGAAAAAGAGGCGCAAGTCGAAGATACAAAAAAAAAATTCGGAATAACATTTTCTACAGAAATTTAATACCTTTAGCTCGGATGATGTTCTTAAACAGCCTTAAAAAGCATTGACAATCAATTACCGACTGGCAACTAAGAAAACTTGAGCCGAAAACAAAAATGTAACCAAAATGTTTTTGAAGCTTTCGTTAATAAAAATGAGAATATAAAATGAAAAAAAAAAAGAATCCAAGTAGGATTTCCTATATGCATGGTATAAGCAAACCGGAAGCCCCGATTATCCTGAAAGTCTTTTTTTTTTCGAAACAAGAAGTCATTCATGTTTTTTGCGACCTTAACTCTTTTGCTGTTCATTTGTAGATTGTCTTCCTTTCACCAGGGGAAATGAACTGATCTTAAAAAGCAATCAGATGTCAAACTACGAAAAATCAGAAATAAACAAAAGATTCTTCCTGGAAAAAATTCGTCGCGACCAATACAAGTGAAAACAACTTTCGTTCCTTTACGCTTGAAGATGAAAAATTGTCTCTAAAACATTTTCTCACTATTTATATTACTGCTGTTGTAAAAACGCAGATAGCTTGCACGAGCGCTAATGCATTTTTATCATTTTTATGCTTTCAAAGTTAACTTTAATTATCCACTCCGAGTAGTTTGGCATACAAAAAAACAGAATTAATTTATAAATACCTCCTATATTCAAGTACTATTAGGACAAACATTTGATACTTAACTTGTCGAGCAAAATTGATCCAAATTGGAAAATTTGTTAACTAGTTCTCATTCTCACTCACACTCACACACACACACACACGCACACACACACACTCTCTCTCTCTCTCTCTCTTCCTCCTCTCTTTTCTCTCTCAGGTTTAAAAACTCAATTAATCATCACGATTGCATTTCTAATAGTTGAAAACCAATGTTACGAGTGATCCAAACATATGGATGGTCATTCTTCGGAGCGTTCTTTTGCTGGTGTCTATACAATCTCAATAAAGACAGAGGTGAAGCTGCACTTTAGAAAGACACACCAAGAAGTAATTTCAATGTTCCGGAGTTCAGAAAAATAAATGCCCTTTAAGGGAATCAAACCACAGGCCTCGAACATCCAAAATAACTCCCCTACACAACTATGCCACTGACACTGCATGCATTGACCTAACCAAGTTCGATATTTCTGGCTTCAAAAATTCCGGGTCAACAAGCTCAATTATTGTTTTTTGAAGTCAAATTTGAACAACTTAGTGACTCTTTTCGAGGCTAAGAACCAATCTTTACAAAAAAATTTTCATAGACGATTTATGGATTTTTTTTCGGCATCATTGTTTCTACCGGCATCGTTGTTTCTGTCAGCTATTTTCTAAGCGCTTCGTCTTTCTTTTTTTTGCATACGCAATTTTTTGAATTTTCAGAAAACGTATAATGAAGTAAACTTTAGTTCAAATTGGAATTCGAGTTTGAAAAAATGTTCTTTAGAGATATTAAAAAATGGTCGACAATGCCTTTTGGGAAAACTTCTTGTTTCTTGGTTCCGCTTATCCTCTGCGTTTAAAATCTGCACACAGAGGCGAAGCTGAGCTTCGCACCACTTGTGATTCAAGAACGAATGATTATGATTGACTCAAATAATAAAAAAAAAATTCGTCGTAAAAAAAGCCCAAACTATCCAGAACAAAATTACCTGTACCATTAAAAACTTTACAAAGAGCTTCCACAATGCTAAAAAGAAGTTGAACTTTAAAAATGTGTGTTATAAAACGTGTATCAAAAAACCTTTCATTGTGTTAATTTCTTCGAATTCAATTTAATAACACTACTTACGATACACAACAAAGCTCCAAAAATCAAAATACAATGTCTCAAACTTAAATGAAATTTGTTGAAGAAATCGTAGGCTCAAAACTGAAGAAAAATTTTATTGCAATTGTTGAAAAGATCAATTATCAGCGAAACAAAAGAAGGATATGTGCTTGCCTCTATCCATTTCTTTCTCGATAAGGAAACATTTCGGTCAAAAGATTGAAGTAAAAAAATATCAAAAGTACTCGATAACTGTTCATTAAATCTTGCAACGAAACACTCTGCTTATCCAACGAAACAATCCGCTAATTGATGTAGTTAAAACGAAAAATTTCAAAAACATGAATGCAAAAACTGCAAGCAATTTCAGCAGAAAAAAAAACTTACCGCAAATATGAAAAAGTCTGAAAGCCTATAAAACAACCCAATAACATCAAGAATTATCAATTATGAAAATTATTCGGAACGGTAAGAGAGCTAGATCACAGCAACAAAAAAAAAAACATTGAAAAACGCCAAGAAAGCAAATAAAAAATCACGAACGTTTTTTTTTTCAAAAATTTTAGCCAGAAAAACGGCATCCAATGAATATCTTGCAGAACTAGCCGCATTATTCCTTTTTAGACAAAACAGTTGAGCCAATCTTGCAAAAAAAATCTGGAAAATTACCATTTTTTTTTCGAAAAATTGAAACAATACGTTTAACCATCAACTTCAATAGATTTCAAATAAAACTGCTGCATTTCAAATAAACCTATAACACATCTGACTAATTAAAACTTGAACTAGTTTTACGGAGTTTTAGAAAAATCAGAAACCATGCATCGGAAAAAACTGAAAATTTAATTTAAAAAAATCCAGAAGTTTTATTTCTAACAGAAAAATTTGGCGCCTATAAAAACCAGAAAGCATGAATTATATTTCCTCATGAAAATGAAGAAGTACACAAAATTTTTTTAAAAAAATTACAGAATTAATTACCCTGCATGCAAGTAAGCCGACAAAATTGGGTCGAGATCAAAAAAGCGGACAAAACATCAACTTACACCTAAAAATGCTTTTCAGCTCAAAAACAACTATCACTTCAGTCGTTGAAGGCAGCTTTTGAATTACAGCTGTTAGACGTGCATCTGGAGTAGAAATAGAGAAAACAGATATATTTGGAGATGACCCAATTTCAGTCATCCTGTGGACAAAGTTGTTTACGGGAAAAAGTCTAGTACCCGATTGTAATACCCTTGCTTATCAAAAAAACACCAGGCAAGCCGACAAAAATTGAGTCGAAATCAATTTAGCCCAAAAAAAAACAATTTTACATCTGAAATTTTTTAACCAGTACATCCAGTAACGCAAAAACTCTAAACACAAAATCTCGAGGTTTTGAACGTGCAACGTGCTGAAAAAGGAGATCTTTAAATTGGAGATTGTCCTGTAAACAAAATTGTTTACGGAGAAAAAAGTCCAGCACCCGATTGCAATACGATTGCGTAAGAAAAACTAAACGACTATCGAAAGATTGCTATGGTTAAACCAAGCTTCAAACGATAAAAGGTACGATTACCTAAATTATCGTCAGAATTTAGCAGCTTCTGGAGACTTGAACGCAGCTCAATTGTTTCTGATTCAGTTTCAGATAACGACTGTCCAATTGCCCGAAGTGCGTAAGCAGTATCAGTCTCATTTGCAGTGACATTTCCAATTGGTTGAAAGGAATCCATGTCTCCAAAAAGTTCTTCACGAAAAATCTATATCCTGAGCCCGAATCGCAGATTTAGTGACATTTAATCTGAAAGTAGATAAGCTTTCAATAATTTAATACAATTTTTAATCAATACCCAGCACAGCCACAGAGATCCTCCAAGAGCTTCCCACAAAAAAGCACCGTTCGAATCAGCATTTCTTAACCAATAGAATTATCAAATCAGTTTCTGACTGGCCGCTTTTTGAACACAGGTTAAAAAAATGAGCAATATCATCAACCAAACATTTGAATAAAAAAACAGCTGTGTTTCCAATTGCCAAATGAGGCTACACTTTTTTCTCGCAATGACTTTCATTTTCAAGTCCAATTTTTTTTATACGGAGCTGATTTAATGTTTGTTTTGAGAGCGGCAACAACAGCAACAGAAAAACCAGAAGTATAAATACAAGAGAGAGCTAATAATCCAGTGACATCCACTTCAATAATTTGACCATAACATTAACTTACATTCACAAAATAAAATAAAAAATAAACAATTCAACCAATTGACAAACCCAAATCGAAAACTAATCTACTAGATAAAATTCGGATCAATTTTAGCTTTCATCAAGAAGTTTCAACAAATCACCTAAGCTATCGTCAAGTTTACTTTGCATATTCTTCGTCTTTTGCTCAATTAACAATTTCTTCGTCACTGATGATTCCACTTTCAGTTTGTATGTAATCACATCGCCCCATAAGAAACTCCGTTTACACTTCGGACAATGACAGGTTATTGGAACGAGTGTCGTAGACCCAGCCCTACTTAGTGAATCTTCCGCCCAGCAAGTCAAGTGAGCCTGCATTTGACAAGTTGAGATGGACAAAGCACCATTTTCACTCGACACGGGGCAAAAGGCAAAGTTTTCGTTTTCATCGCACAAACTAGAATCGCAAAAGACACAACTGTTTAGAGTTAATATCATTTCACGCTTTTGTTTGGACTGGGTTGCACTGCGTTTGAAATGCTTCGGATCTTCGAAAGGGCCTGAATTAAATATTTGAATTTTTATTGAGCTACACCTAAAAATATGTAAGTTAACAGTTTACATACTTACAAAAATATCCGTTACTAGGAAAAAAAAGACTTCGAGTACCGCATGAATGATCAAATTGTCACATGAATCATTTATGGTAGGATTATTTCAAATCTTGGTTGAGATTAATTTTTTGTTATAGCTGATACCTTATTTGAAAAAAAATAACAATAACCTTCCTTAAACACAATATGGCCTGGTATTTCTTTCTCTTTTTCAAGTGACGCTTTCCTCATCGATGGTGTCACCCATCGCACACAAAGTGGCAGCACTTTCCAGGGTTCGCTTGCCAGTAGAACAGCGAGAACCCTCAGCTGGTAGTCTAAAGTCTGCTTCCGACTACCGTTCTGGTCCAAACACACCACTTTATCTCTGACCCTTTTGGACAACTGGGGGTGTTGCCAGGCCCATTCAAACTGCAGGGCAGCCATGTTACTCATGAAGCCATGGACTATCAACACCATCGTCCAGGGTCCCTTGTTTTCCGTCTTTTTAGCCCCACCCTTTTCTCTACCCAAATTATGCTGCTGGATTCTGCGCAGAGGGTTTACTGTATATCCTACGTATGTGCGCCTTCCATTGGTCAGTAAGTAGCATCCATGGAAATTGTCGAAGCCAGATTCTTTATCTTCAGTCATTGCCAAAACAATCTGTAAATCCATATCAATGCATCAACTCCCTAATTTTCAAATCAATCAGGTTTTTAAAAATTTATGATCGGCAATGAATGAAAAAACTTTCGACAGTACGCTTTTTCAACTCTTACTGCAGTATTTCAGATTCCCATTCAAAAATATCAGTTTCAAATATTTTAAATTTGTCTACGAGATACAGGCCATTACAACTACTTTAAGTATTCATTTTCCACTAGCATGGAAGGCTCCAATCCCAGTGATTGCCCTTCCCAAAATAAGAGCATGGATATCATGAGTTCCTTCGTATGTGTTCACAGTTTCCAAATTAATGGCATGTCTCATCACGTGGTATTCGTCCGAGATGCCATTTCCACCCAGTATGTCACGACACTGCCTTGCAATGTCCAGAGCTTTACCACAGCTGTTTCTTTTAACCATCGAAATCATTTCTGGAGAATATATGTCTTGATCTTTCATCCGCCCTACTTGTACACAAGCTGTGAGTCCGATGTTAATTTCAGTGACCATGTCGGCAAACTTCTTTTGGATCAGTTGTGTTGCGGCAAGAGGAACTCCGAATTGTTTGCGGTCCAGAGCGTATTGCCTAGCAGCATGAAAGCAAAATTCTGCAGCTCCCATCACTCCCCAAGCAATGCCATACCTCGCACTTGTTAGGCAGCCAAAGGGACCTTTGTATCCAGACACATTTGGAAGAAGATTCTCAGCAGGAACTTCCACGTCTTCCAGCACAATCATGCCGGTCTCAGAAGCCATCAGTGACATTTTCCCCGGAATTTTTGGGGTGGAGAATCCTTTCATTTCCCTGTCCACAATGAAGCCTTTCAAAACCCCGTCAACTTTTGCCCACACAATAGCTATATCGGCAATTGGCGAGTTAGTTATCCAGGTCTTAGACCCGTTCAAGATGTAGCAGTCATTACTTGCTTCATACCTAGCAACAGTTTCCATGCCGCCTGGGTCAGATCCATGGTTGGGTTCTGTGAGGCCAAAACAACCCACTAACTCGCCAGACCCCAACCTGGGCAGATACTTGTCCTTCTGTGCGTCTGAACCATACTTCCATATTGGGAACATAACGAGGGAAGATTGCACGCTCATTGCCGACCTGTAGGCACTATCTACTCTCTCACATTCTCGTGCCAATAAACCATATCCGACTGATGTTGCGCCAGCACATCCATAGCCTTGGATCATGGCTCCCAACACTCCAAGGGAGCCCATCTCGTACATAATTTCACGGTCGAAAACACCCTTTCGGTTAGCCATTAGAATGCGAGGCATGAGTTTGTCTTGGCAATACCCTCTGAATTGGTCCCGCAACATCTTTTCTTCGTCTGTAAGCAGAGATTCAATACTTAGTGCATCCTCATAGTCGAATTTAGTGAAGCTTCTGCAAGTGACGATTCGATTGCACGGACGAACTGAGGTAGTTATTGTCCCTAGTTTGGGAATAAAAGTTAAAATTTTGTTCATTTTACGCCATCTGAAATATTTATATTAACTAGCGTGTAACGCATCTCCGGTACTCCCGAATTTTTAACAACTCAAAAAAAAACCGCATATATTGGAAATAAGATGTGCATTATTTGAGTGTACTCTGACAGCAACCAATTACAGAGTTCGTAATTAAAAATGTTGCCAAGTTTTTAATGCAAGTTTTTTTTTTACAAATTTTGAAGAACCATAATATTGTAACGTTTTATGTGAAATCTCTGAAAAAATTTAAAATGAACTAAAAAACTTAACATGAACTAAAATCTAAGTTTTTGAACTTTTTTGAAAAAATCATAAAAAACGCCATGTCTCGAAAACTACAAGGATTTGAGCAGCCATATTCAGAGGCAAGATTCGCAACCCCCTGAGAGTACCCTCACATTTTCCAACAACAAAATTGAGACCTTCAAAATTTTGGAATTTTTAAAACCGAAGTTTTTTTTCTTATCATATCTTAAAATCTACAAAACTTTGAGCAGTCATACTTTGACGGAATATTCGCAACTCCTGAGACTACCCTCACAGAGCCTCACTACAGAAATGGGAACTTCAAACAATGTGAAAACTTTTATAGTTCTCCGAAATCTCTTGAAAAAAATCATAAAAAACGTCATATCTCGAAAACTACATGGACTTGAGCAGTCATATTCGGAGTCAAAGTCCGCAACTCCTGAGAGTACCCTGACAGTGCCTCACCGCAGAGATGAGAATTTCAAATTTTGTGAAATGTATCATATCTAAGTTATCTGAAAAACTTTCAAAAAATCCAAAAAAAGTCATAAAACTACAAGGATTTGAGCAGCCATATTCAGACGCAAGATTCGCAACCCCTGAGAGTACCCTCACAGTTTCCAACAACAAGATTGATATCTTCAAAAATTTGGAATTTTTAAGACCGAAGTTTATTTTCTTATCATATCTTAAAATCTACAAAATTTTAGCAGTCATACTTTGACGCAATATTCGCAACTCCTGAGACTACCCTCATAGAGCCCCACTACAGAAATGGGAACTTCAAACAATGTGAAAACTTTTATAGTTCTCCGAAAACTCTTGAAAAAAATCATAAAAAACGTCATATCTCGAAAACTACATGGACTTGAGCAGTCATATTCGGAGTCAAAGTCCGCAACTCCTGAGAGTACCCTGACAGTGCCTCACCGCAGAGATGAGAAGTTCAAATTTTGTGAAATTTATCATATCTAAGTTATCTGAAAAACTTTCAAAAAATCCAAAAAAAAGTCATAAAACTACAAGGATTTGAGCAGCCATATTCAGACGCAAGATTCGCAACTCCCTGAGAGTACCCTCACAGTTTCCAACAACAAGATTGATATCTTCAAAAATTTGGAATTTTTAAGACCGAAGTTTATTTTCTCATCATATCTTAAAATCTACAAAATTTTGAGCAGTCATACTTTGACGCAATATTCGCAACTCCTGAGACTACCCTCATAGAGCCCCACTACAGAAATGGGAACTTCAAACAATGTGAAAACTTTTATAGTTCTCCGAAAACTTTTGAAAACAATCATAAAAAACGTCATATCTCGAAAACTACATGGACTTGAGCAGTCATATTCGGAGTCAAAGTCTGCAACTCCTGAGAGTACCCTGACAGTGCCTCACCGCAGAGATGGGAATTTCAAACTTCTGAAAAAATTTGAAAAATCCAAAAAAAGTCATAAAACTACAAGGATTTGAGCCGCCAAACTCAGAGGCAAGATTCGCAACCCCGGAGAGTACCCTAAAAATAACCAACAACAGGATTGAGATCTTCAAGGTTTTTTTTTCAATTTTTTGGAATTTTGGATAACCCAAAAAAAACGTCATATCTCGAAAACTACAAGGATTTGAGAATCGATACTTGGAGGCAAGATTTGCAACTCCTGAGACTACCCTGACAGCACCCAACTATAGGGTGAAAATTGCCGAAGCTTAAAGAATTTGGTTATTCATATATGGAGGCCGGAACCGCAAAATCTGGAAAAGCCCTGACAAAAATGCACTATTGGGTTGCTTATTTCAAACTTGATGAAATAAACACTGAGCTTAAACTGGAAAATCGAAAAAAACTTAAACATTGCAATATACGGCATAGCTTATCTTTTGTTTAACATTCAAAAATAATACGTTCAAAAAGCTTAAAAATGGCACGATAGTGAAGTCTGCGTTTAAATATATAACTAGCGCATGACTCGCACCTATGGTGCTTCAAATAGATCGTTGAAAGTAAAAAAAAAGCTTCCTAAAACATGTTCTAAAACAAAGACATTTAAAGATAAACTGGGCTCATCTATCAGGTGTTTCTATTTCTTAACAAATGCCATATGTCGAAAACCGAAATGATTTAAGCAGATAAAAATAGAGGGCAGATTTGCTACTCTATATTGTTCTCTGACTGCATCGGGTTAAAAACCCAAGCATAGGGTTGAAAATTTCAATTTATATTAGTTGTTTTTTAATCTAAGTTTTGTTGAAAAGGTAATTTAACCAAATCAAGAGAAAAACATATCTCGGAAACATAAGTAAACTGAGCAGTAAAAATTAGAGGCCAGATTTTCATCCTGACGGTAGCCCCTGAATGTACCCTGATAGAACCCCATCATTCGAATAAAAAATTTCAAGACCGGTTAATTTCTTGAAAAAATTTGAAAAAATCATACATATCAACACATCTCACAAACCAGAAGCAACCAAATTTTAAGGGCAGATTTCCAACGCCGATCTGTAACTGTAAAAAAACCATCTGTGAAAAAATGGGAAATAATCACCAAAAATTACCATATATCGGAAAAGAAAAAGGATATGAGCAGTCAAATCTGGAGGGAAGAAATGAAATACTTGAGTACCCTGACAGCAACTCAACATATGGTCAAGAATTTGAAGTTCTGTTAGTTTTTTTTTAAATCTAAAACTTTTCATATCTAAAAAAATCTAAAAAACGCCATATCTCAAAAAGCGAAAGCATTTGAGCAATCATACTTCGCCATCAGATTTGGAACCACTGAAAGTACCTCAACAGGGCCCAACTATCGGGTTGAGAATTCCTAGTTCGGTAATTTTTTTTATATCCAAGTTTTTTGAAAAAAATTGAAAAAATTATTTAAAATGTCATATCTTGAAAACCTGAATTATTTGAGCCGTCATACCTAGACGCTATATTTGCAACCCCTGAATTTATAGTGTAGCCTAACAGTACTCCGCTATAGGGTTGAAAGCTTCAACTTCGGTTAGTTTTTTTATATCCAAGTTTTTCTAAACAAAAAAAAACGCCATATCTCGAATAACAAAAGAATTTGAGCAGCCATACTTTGACGCCAGATTTGCAACCCATGAATGTACCCTGACAACAACCCACAATAGGGCTGAGAATTTCAACATTAGGTCAGTAAATTGTGAAACTAAAATTCTGATAGTTTTACGTTGCGAATATAGGAAAAAATATAAGAGTTAAAGCATTCGCGCTCCAACATATTTTGAAACGCTGACTTGAGTTAATTTTTCAACACTTTCAATGTTTTGGCCTTTTAACAGACCAACATAGTGACTTCTTAAGCATGTGCCAAATGAAATTTCTCGAGCATTTTAATATATGATATAGCTTCAACGTGCAAAAACACTTTCGTGATGCCAAGATAGGGACTTCTCAAACATGCGTCACATGAAATGCCAATTAAATAATAGATAGATAGAAGAGATAGATAATAGATAGATGAAAAAGGAGGTATACAGACAGACAGACTTAATTTGACCTCGAAAAAAATTGAAAAATTAATGAACTTGCGGAAAGTTCATCGAAAAACTTCCTTAAGCATTGCAAGTTATGATATAGCTTAAGCGTGAAAACATTCTTTCGTTAAACATGCAAAACTATTATGCTTAAACATGGGAGGAGACAGCTGTCACACGCGCTTAAATATAGTATAGATAGATAGATTGATTCATAAAATTACTCTCAGCAGAACATGTGCTTAAGATAATATGATTTTTTTCCAGCTAATACAAACTAAGCAAAACAATAAATTAACTACAACTAAGCTCAGTTTACAGGCGAACTTTCTGTGTATAAATCTAATCTCATTTGATTTAAAATTGGAATGGAGTTTCTCGTATTCTCCAGCTCATCTGGATCAACATCTGCATAAATTATAGTTTCACTAGCTTCCGCTTTGGAGATCACTTTTGCCCATGGATCGACTACACTACTATGTCCCCACGCGACGTACCCACCCGACGCCTCGTCACGCGCAGGGGAACATGCGGCAACATACAGCTGGTTATCTGAAGCCCTGGCTCTCTGTAGTAACTCAAAATGCAATGGACCCGTAGTCATGTTGAATGCACCCGGGTATAGTATCAAATGACAACCCTGCTGTCTGTACAAATTGGCAAGAGCAGGAAAGCGAAGATCATAACAGATTCCAACTCCAATTTTCAAGGTTTTATTCTTCATTGGAACGCCAAAGGTTAGGGTCTCGTTTCCGGCTGTCAACACTTCTGATTCAATAAATCGAATTTTCCCTGGAATATCGATATCAAACAAGTGTAACTTCCTAAACTTTCCTAGCATTTCGCCACTTGGATTGAATACGCAAGCTGTGTTGAACAACTTTCCGCTTTTGTCTCTTTCAGGAATACTTCCTCCAACTAGGAAACAGCTGTTGTCTTTTGCCGCCGATGCTAAAGTTTCGGTGGAACTGCCGGGTATTGTCTCCGCATAATCTGCAAAATGCTGAGTTCCATAGGGAGAGTTGAAGCATTCTGGAAGACAAACCAAATCAGCACCTCCAACTTTGCAGGCCTCTTCTATTTTAGCACACGCTCGTTTCAAATTCTGAGCTTTGTCAGCAGTAACTTTTAGCTGAACCAATGCAAGTTTCATGACTTCTTTTCTCAAGCAACTGGCCATGATCAAGTGTTTGCACTATTCGAGATAACACATGAATCTTAATTCTATTTCATTAAATCATCTGGAACCCAAGTTCTATGATATTTTCATAGTACCTAATCGCAATTAGTCACAAAACTCGAAAAACACAATTTAAGAAATAGACTTCTAGGGGAGCTGCGGTGAATTAAAATTTTACGCCAAACAAGGTGATCCTTTGACACAATTACACGTTCTCTTGTTCGAGAGATGAAAAACACAATAAAGAACTCTTTCAAAGGCACTACACAATAGGTTTTCAAAATCGATAAAAAGTCGATTTGACGCACTCTTAGATAAAAAGTAAAATTGACCGAACAAAATCAAACACAGAGGCAGAGCTGAGCTTCGAACCACTTGCGATACAACAAGTATAAAATTAAAACAGCATGACGCTGAAGAAAAAGCAAAGAAGGCTTCGAATGGAGAAAAAAATTAAGGAACTAGAAAACAAGTTAAAAAAATTAAAAAATGTTTTTCAAGATCAAATTAATTTAAGTTTTTTCAGGATGATCATATGAGGTTGACATTGAGCATTCGAAAACTTAGAGCCAGTGACTTATCAATCTTTGAAACAAAACCGGAAATTTGTAGCAAACAAAATATTAGGTAGAAAAGCCGACAAAAAGTTGTGCCAAGTTGAAAAAAATATGACAATTGCTAGAACATGAGAAGTCTTAACTGCTAGAATAATAATCGCAAGCGTAATAAATCTGTGCTCATCAACAGACAAAGCAAAATTTCTAAAAAAAAGTTTTTTAAATAAATTAATTAGTAAAATTTAAACTAAAAAATGCAGCAAAGATTTCGCAAGAAAAGTTATAGCTCAATTGCTTCCACTAGTGGCATTCAGAAAATTGTAAGAAAGCTAAACCTTCAAAAAGTGTCGGTGCAACATAAACTAAGCCAAAAAAAACAAAATAAAGAGACGGACGACTGCATGAAAAAGCAGAAAATTTCTAGTTAAAAAAAAACAGAATCCGACTGGGTTCCAACCACAAGCTTTTGTCGTCAGCTGAGCTTCGAACCACTTGCGATACAACAAGTATAAAATTAAAACAGCATGATGCTGAAGAAAAAGCAAAGAAGGCTTCGAATGGAGAAAAATGAAGGAACTAGAAAACAAGTTAAAAAAATTAAAAAATGTTTTTCAAGATTAAATTAATTTAAGTTTTTTCAGGATGATCCTATGAGGTTGACATTGAGCATTCGAAAAGTTAGAGCCAGTGACTTATCAATCTTTGAAACAAAACCGGAAATTTGTAGCAAACAAAATACTAGGTAGAAAAGCCGACAAAAAGTTGTGCTTAGTTGAAAAAAAATATGACAATTGCTAGAACATCAGAAGTCTTAACTACTAGAATAATGATCGCAAGCGTAATAAATCTGTGCTCATCAACAGACAAAGCAAAATTTCTAAAAAATATTTTTTTAAATAAATTAATTAGTAAAAATTAAATTAAAAAATGCAGCAAAGATTTGGCAAGAAAAGTTATAGCTCAATTGCTTCCACTAGTGGCCTTCAGAAAATTGTAAGAAAGCTAAACCTTCAAAAAGTGTCGGTGCAACATAAACTAAGCCACAAAAAAACAAAATAAAGAGACGGACGACTGCATGAAAAAGCAGAAAATTTCTAGTTAAAAAAAACAGAATCCGACTGGGTTCCAACCACAAGCTTTTGTCGTCTCAAGCAAATGTCTTACCTCTACGCCAGATGCGCTGGATAAATGATTGAGTTTGAATTTATAATAAAAAAACTAACTAAAAAAACTAACTAAAAATTTGATTTCTAATAACGCTTGCTAATTGTACTACAAAAGCTTTAAGAGTGTGATTTAGATTTTTGCAAAAACTTCCTGATAGAGATCACTCGCTACGCGATATAAAACCAATATAAATAATAGGAATAACTAAAAAAAAATAGGAAAATAAGCCGACAGAATTAAAACCGAATGACCTCAGTGCCGAAAATAAACCAAAAAATTTCGAATCTGATAAAATAATTAAAGCATCTCTCAACGTAAACACAAAGCCAACCCAGTAACCATGCTATTAATTAACTATGTGCAAAATTAACCATGCTGATTAAATAACCATGCTGATTACCAGGCTACTAATGTCTCTCAATTTCACCCACTATTTGCTCTAAACTAGTCTAGCAAACTAGTCTAGTCATTGCTACTCGAACATAGAAGCCCAGATTCTTATCACTTGCAATACAAAAAGGTGTATTAATCCGAATTTACACAAGCTTTGCCAAGCCAAGGCTAAACGAAAACAAAATATGTAGTTTATGAACTCAGATCATTGGTTGTTCAAAAACCTATCAAGTTTAGAACCACACAGTATAGAGCAAAAAAAATTATAACATAGCCAATCGAAGATTGGAAAAGAGTAATGAACGCAAGTAGACATAAAAAAACACTGCCTTTCTTGAAAAAAGCTCAATTTTCAAATTTCAAAGAAAAAAGGCCCTTTGAACACTGAATTTCTAGAAAATTTTATGATTGGCGCTTTTTTGATAACATGAACCCAACATACGAAAACTGGATCAATAGCTTAAGTTTTTATTCCACTTAAGTTTAAATTCCACTTTCGAAATAAGAAAACGTGCTATATACGTCACTTGCAGCAGATGAGTAATTTGATTTTTTAAAACGATAAAATCTCAAATTTATGATAAACTAATAGCAATTTTTTCTTAGAGTATTTTTTAAGATTTGATAGCAATTAAGGTTTCCTCAACCAGATTCCATTGTTAAAATCGATTATCACTGTAAAAATATAGTCTACCAAGATCTTGAACTTACACAAAAATCAGTTGGCTAAACCATGAAAATTAGGCTTAAACTCATAGTTTCAATTATCTTGAATTACCGAAAAAGATTTTATAAACACAGCATGCCACTCAAAAAATAGCGAGTAAAATTTCAAACAAATATACCGTTTAAGAACAAAAAAAAACAACCAAAAAAATTTTTTGTTTTAAAAAGTGTCGGAGAAATTTATTTCAAGCTTATGAACATTAAAAAACAACTTTGAGTATACTTCAATTTAAAATATTTACTTCAGAGGCGAAGGGGAGCTTCGCATCACTTGCGATATAGCACATCACTTACATTAAAAAAAACCTTATAAGTACAAAAAAATGTTGAAAAGTTTCACAAAAAAAATGTTTCACAAGTTATTACCTACACCGAATCGGTTTGCGAAAACTTTTAGGTTTGTTGAAGCAAGCTATAAAACTTTGAAATAATTGAAACTAAGCAATCTTTTGAAGCTATGCAACTTTAAAATATTTCAATTTATTTCAAAAACGGAATCAATTCGCGGACTTGTTTTCGAAGCAAGCAAATCAATCTATGAAACTTTGAAATATTGCAAGATATTTCGTGGACTAAAGCGGTTTGCAAAAAATTTAAAGTTTTTCTAAGCAAGCTTTTAAAGCTAAGAAACTTTGAATTAATTCAATTTATTCTATAGGCTGAATCAATCCGGGAAAAGCTCAAGTTTTTCTAAGCGAGCTTTTCAAGCTATTCATAGATTGAATCGGTTCGCGAAAATTGAAGTTTTTCTAAGCAAGGTTTTGAAGCTACGAAATTAGGAACTTTTACAAGTTATTACCTACACTGAATCGGTTTGCGAAAATTTTTAGGTTTGTTGAAGCAAGCTATAAAACTTTCAAATTATTGAATTTATTTAGTGGACCGAACTGGTTCGAGAAAGTTTCAGTTATTCTGAACAAGCTTTTAACGAAATAAAACTTTGAATTATTTCAAGTTATTTCATAGAATGAATCGTTTCGCCAAACGCTAAAGTTATTCTGAGCAAGCTTTTCATGCTATGAAACTGTTAAATATTTCCAATTTTCTAAGCGAGATGTTTATGCTAGAAATTTTGAAGTAGGTTAAGTTATTTGATTAACCGAATCGGTTTGCAAAAAGTTTCAGTTCTTCTAAGCAAGCTTTTAAAGCCATGAAACTTTGAATTATTTCTAGTTATTTCATGCACTGAATCGGTTTGTGAAAAAAATTTTTAAGCAATCTTTTAAAGATAAGAAAATTTGAACTTTTTCAGGTTATTTCGTAGACCGAATCGGTTAGCAAAAATTGAAGTTTCTAAGCAAGCTATTAGAGCTAAGAAACTTTGAATTAATTAAATTTATTCCATAGGCTGAAACGGTCCGCCAAACGTTTTTCTAAGCAAGCTTTTCAAGCTATGAAATTTTGAATTATTTCAAATTATTTCATAGATTGAATAGGTTCGCGAAACATTGAAGTTCTTCAAAGCAAGGTTTTGAAGCTAAAAAACTTGTAATTTTTACAAGTTATTTCCTACATTGAATGGGTTCGCGAAAACTTTTAAGTTTTTTGAAGCAAACTTTATCACTTTGAAATGATTCGTTTCATTTCGTGGACCAAATCGGTTTGCGAAACTTTCAGTTATTCTGAAAAAGCTTTTAATGCTATAAAAATTTGAATTATTTATAGTTATTTCATGCACTGAATCGGTTCGCAAAAATTTTTATTTTTTGTAACCAATCTTTTAAAGCTATAAAAATTTGTATGTTTTCAAGTTATTTCATAAACTGAAGCGGTTCCCGAAAGCTTAAACTTTTCTACTCAATATTTTCATGCTATGATACGGTTAATTATTTCCAATTATTTGATAGACCGAATCGGTTTTTCTAAGCAAGCTATTAGAGCTATGCAACTTTCAAATATTTCAGGTCAGTTTATAAAACGAATCAGTTCGAGAAAAGCTTTAAGTTTTTAGAAGCAAGCTAATCACGCTATGAAACTGTGAAATATTGCAAGTTAATTCGTGGACTAAATCGGATCGCGAAAAGTTGAATTTTTTAATGCAGGCTTTTAAAGCTATGAAACTTTGACTTATTTCAATTTTTTCATAGACCGAATCGGTTCGCAAAATTTCTTTCTCATCATGGAGGTTGCTGTTTTTAAGTGATTCGTTCCAGACTGAGATTTGAGTCTCAGCTCCAGACAGAAATTAAACGAAATTTTCGACAAAAATTAGGCAGGTCTGTCTAGCCTTGAAGTTGGATCGAGTTCATCTTCTTCTGATGGTTGCTCTGAATGCTTCTTAAACGTTACGCTCGATAGCCTTTTAAACATTGCCTCATAAAAATTCTTAAACACTGTGTTCAGTTAAACATTGCGTCCATAGCGCATTCGGAGTTACATTTAATATATAAGATTAGAACTTTTGTGATAAAGCTAACCCAATTTGGGAAAACTGGAATCATTGGATAAAGTTTTTATTCCGCCGGGAAATCTGACAACTAAATCGAATTAGAAAATCTGGCATGCTCTCTGATTCGATAGCTTGATCCTTCGCGACATAGCCCCGCTCCTCACCGCACACTACCACCACACTTCATGAAAATTACCTTCATTAATAAAGCAAGCTATCAAATGATTTAAATCATTCTGTTAAACTAGTTGTTAACTAGAAAAAAGTATATTCCAGTTTGATAAGGCTTGCTTATCGCAATCGTAAAAACTATTAGAAAAAAAATCACATGAGGTAATTCAACCAACAGAATTGAAGCCGACACCCAATAGTCTGAAAATAATCCGAAACTTTTTCGGTAAAAATCACAAGACTTGCATGCACCACTTAAAAATAAATTGCGAATCCTAAATAAAAAGTGCGTGTAAGATGTAGGTTGTACATTACAAGGAACTTAGAAACGACAATTTACTAAATTGACCATTTTGAGATCGAAGTAGTTTACGGGAAAAGTCCCGTTAGCACATACGAAGAAATTATTGCTCTAAGAATTTCAAACTCAGGTGATTTAAAACCAAAATTTTCGCAAATGAGTTGAGAAATCTAATAATTATCTACTGTAAAACAAAATATCTCTATATAGAATTGTCAGCTTCTAGTTTGAAAAGATGAAATAAACAAAAACAGCACAAGTTTTAGTGAGCACTCGTCAAAGTATTTTCTAGATGAAAACGAAATAAAAAAATAACCCATTTTATTCCAGCGCCTATTCATGATGATACATCTGAATTTTAGAAGAGAGATTAAAGTATTGATGAACACATTTGAATGGAAGATGAGCTCTTGATTAAGAATTTTATTCAACTCCACATTGTGATATTACTCTGTAAAATCCATCTTCTTCCCTTTCGCCCATGGCACACAATAGAAGTTTCGACACTTGTATAGATTCCGGTGTCAGCTGCGGACATTCTTGTTGGTTTATAAAATTGGTGTCGAACTGGCAGTCACCACCTCTGAACTTAACAAGAGTTAAGTGCTGATTGAAGTCGTGGTCTTCAATGAAGTCCAGCTCGTATTCGGCACATAGATTTTTGAGACTCCTATGTATTTGCTGCAGGATCTCAGACTGTAACAGAATAACTGCAACCGTTTTTCCGAAACAATGTAGCTTGCCGTCTATTTGAAGATCAAAGGGTAGCTTAATTGGGTGAAGTAAATTCAGGTCCACCAGATCCGACATCAGTTGGATTGCCAGTTCATACTGCCGCACCTTCTCAATTCTAAGGAGTCCCAGAGTGATATGTAGAGTGGAAGGCGTGCATTTGTTCTTTTTAATGTCATTTGGGTGTTCATTAAAGTACTTGCGGCAGAACTCTTCGTGATAAGCGTGAACTTGAGGATTGTCAATTCGAATACAGAAAAAATAATTCGGCCAAACCTTTTTCTTTTTCGTCTGCTGCCCCTCCGCAATAGCTCGATTCATTTCAGAAGTCATACTATCTGAAACTGTTTCATCTGGTTCTATTGTTTCGAAATCGCCCCCATGTGGTACCTGCTCTTGAACTTGAGGTTTTGCCCAATCTACTTGGTAAACGTCTTGAACTATTTCCTCTTTTTCAGTGTTGGATGCATACTTCAGGAAGTCGAACTCATCTCTTCCTAAAACATGCAAATTTTGAAACTGACATGTTTTGAAAATTTCACTGCATCTAGAAATTATCTAGCAAATTTTCTCTGTATGTGCGCAATTTGAACAAAGGTGATGACTCACTGAGTGGTCAAAAAAATCTACTGCAATTCGGAAAATAAATTCACGAGCTATCTAGTGTTTAAAGAAAGTTTGAATGTATATGCACTAGAATATTGTATGATTTATATATTCTCACCCATTAAATAGTTATATAGAACAACCATTACACTGTAGTGTCATCATTTAACTGACCCAATTCGGTGATAAGTTCGTGTATCTTTTTCTCGTTGCCAGTAGACCCAAAAACAAGATCTAGCCTCAGCTCCTTGTCCCAGACTTTGGCGTCTTTGTACTTGAAGTATTGTATTCGGTGTTGAGGCACTGCTGACGGATTTTTGCCGGTTTCCACGTCACATATATCTAGGCTCCAATCAAACGAGGAGAATGGTCGCTCAATTGTACCTAGAAAGCGGTCCAAATATCCTACCAAGAAGTTCTCCGAGGGCAGTTGTTCATCCCACTCTATACGATTGATTACATCCAAAGCTGTTTTCATACTGGGAAGCTTGCTATCTGAAACCTTGGTCGATTTTTTCCCCCTGTTTATATTCTGTTCTAAGCACAAAAAGCTTATTCAGAAGACGTACATGAGCACTTTTACGCATAAAATTTGAAACAATACAAACCATTTTTTGTGTTTTCTTTGCGCAAGGAAACAGTTTGGGAAGTGCTGGTGTTCGACTGTTCAGCATGGCAGCAGTCTTCTGTTCTAAAAATAAAAATCTGATATTGACATATATACTAGACGAAAATATTATACAGAGGCGGGGCTGATCTTCGAGCGAATTGTGATATCACACAAATATACCATTGAAAACTAGCAGACTGAAAATCAAGTAGAGCCACTCAGTCAAAAAAAAATCGAAAACCACGATTACAAAACATTCAAAAAATTTTGTCTGTAATGATGTTCAATTTGAAGGGAATCCAAAACATGCGCCGACATTAAATAAGTGTTCAGAAACACTTCTCGGTAACGCTAGAACATCGTTAACTCCCGTTGAGCCAAAAACAAAATTGCTGTGATGAAAAAATTACGCTACCCCTCTGGAAATATATAATTAGGTCACTAAGAAGATTAAACATAAGCTGAAACAACAAAGGCCGACTAAACATAAGCGCGAAAAAAGATAAGTTCAAAAAAACTCAGATTTAGCTATTTGAATCAGATATACAACATAAAAATAGAAAACATTCAGACAGCAAAACAATCAGACAAAACCCGCAGTTGAAACAAATTGAAACGTCGAAAAAAAACCAAGGTCGTGAAAAAAAATCCACGCTTGTCTTGAAGAAAACACAATTTTAAGAAAATATGTCAAAAAACAATTGCTAGAGTTTTTGTTTTTGCTGAAAAACTTTTTTCGGTCCGAGCAAATTTGGCTCATGATGTATCAACTTAGTCAAGTTATTTGTTAAGTTTGAAGTGCACCAATTGATAATTGTTTTTGAATAATTCCGGTAGTTTGCAGTACAAAGTTCAAAGTTATAGAACTTAATGGCTGGAAAAAAATTGAACCACAAAAAACTTGGAAAATTTCTGGGCTCCCCAAAAACATTTGAAGTAATTATACCAAATCGCAGGTGGTAAAATTGAGTCGAAATGGATTCAAATTATGGTAAGCATTGTTCAAACCAAAATTAAAGTCTGAGTAGAAGTAAGCAGAAAAATAAAAGCAGACCCATAAAAGATCAATCGCATCACATCACTTGCCAAAAAATGCCAGAGTAGCATTGCAAGCTAGCGAAGGAAAACGAAACGAAAGAAGTATAGAAAAACTAAATTTCAAAAAACCAGTCGAAAAACGCAATAACAAGCATTGAATCGATTTACTGAGCGGCTACTAAGCAGACAACACGCGAGCAACGCCCATTGAGCCAAAAACAACTAACTTTGAAAAAGTTTCAAAAAAAAACTTGAGCCATTAAAAAAGTTCTATAACTTTGAACTTTACACCAAACTACTTGAATTATTCAAAAAAAAATATCGATTGCTGCCCTTCAAAATAATTTGACTAATTTGATACAGCATAAGCCAAAATCGCTCGGGCCGAATAAAAGTTTTCAGCGAAAGCGAAAACAAAAAAAACATAAAAATTTAAGGTTCGTAGAATTATTCTATAAATAGGATATTAAAAAACAAATGCAACTGCAATGAATGAAAATAGCTTAAGAAAACTACGTAACTATGCAAATAAGCTGACAAGACGTTAGCTGACAATAAAACTCCCGGAAACGATAACCAAACCATACATACTAAAACGAAGGTTACGTCTAGACCAATTTTGGGAAGGAGTCTGGAAACTTTTTTTGGTATATTATTAAAGCAAGTTCCAATTCTTTAAGATTTGACAAATCAGCTATTGGCAGGATTTGAACATAATTCAAGAGTGAGAGCGAAATACATATTCTTGACATGCTCCAGATACAATTTATATTCATCAGCACGCGCCAGCTCATCTAATTTAGGCGTATAATTAATGAGAGGTAAGAGGTGAAAGACGCAAGTTGTAAATGAAAATACAGCCTGGTATAGTTAGCAGATGGAACACGAAATGGAAGGTAACTCGTAGCAGAACTTCGCACACTTGCGATACAACGCACGCGCAGCATTACAAGCTAGCGAACAGAAAATGAGACGGTTACAAAAACATAGCCAACTGACAATTGTAAAAGAGTAATGAACGCAAGGAAACTGAAAAAAAAAACGCATGGAACTTTCAACTTTTGAAAACAATAAAAAAACTAGATGACCTTAAAGCTCTTTGAATTTGTGGATTAATTTATGAATAACTCATTTTTGATGATTTTAACCTAATTTGATAAAACTGATCGATAGGTAAATCTTTTCTTTCACTTGGAAATCTGATAAATACTTTTCATTTTCGAAATTAGTAGCCGATCACGGTTTCGTGACCTTTACAATTTTGCTGTTCGATAGTGAAGTTTGCCTTCTTTTATAGAAAAGAAAGGAAAAGCACTGGAAAAAAAATCAAAATTCAAACCGCCAAATTCACTACGTTCATTATTCTCAAAAATTGAACTTCTATAATGGAATACGAAATCAATTTCAGAAAAAAAACAGTCGACAAACAAAATCAAGTTAAATTTTTTTTTACTATTAACGGAGCGGCCACCAAGCCGACAAAAAATGTTAAGAAGCCCATTGAGCCGGAAACAAAAAATTTCATATAAAATTTTTCTCATAAGAATTTTGATCATTTTGCTTTAAAAGTTAAAAATCTTCCAACACAAACTACCTCCATTTTTCAAAAAACTAAATCAATATCTGCCTTTAAAGCGACACAAAATAAGGTAGCCAGAGCAATACAACATCAACCGAAACCATTTGGGCCGAAAAAAATTTTCAAGCGAAAAAAATAAAGAAAAACCAAGAAAATATAAATACAATGTCAGTGCTATTAATTCTACAAATAACAGAAGTAAAAGAAAACCCCTTGCATTTACGATGAAAACTACTGACAGCACAAGAAAATTCCCCAATGAGGCAACTAAGCCGACAAAACAAGCAGACAACTAAAGTCAATTCAAATATAATGAAAAAAAAACGAGGTCCTGCCGGGACGCAGACCCCAGGCCTTAGGTATATTGGCAACATCGTTATCTTTATGTCACGTGGGAAGGAGTCTCGAAGTTGCTACGTTTAACTAATAAAGTTGCTTTACAATTTCTTAAAGATTTCTAAGAAAAGTTGATTACGGGAATAAAGTCTGGTTCCCTATCAAAAGACACATATAAAAATTTTCATATTTGTCCCGAATGAGGTGAAAGTTGTTACAAATCAGAAGTTACAAATCTTGCTGATTGAAGTCATCGTGGTCTTCAATGAAGTCCAGCTCGTATTCGGCACATAGATTTTTGAGACTCCTATGTATTTGCTGCAGGATCTCAGACTGTAACAGAATAACTGCAACCGTTTTTCCGAAACAATGTAGCTTGCCGTCTATTTGAAGATCAAAGGGTAGCTTAATTGGGTGAAGTAAATTCAGGTCCACCAGATCCGACATCAGTTGGATTGCCAGTTCATACTGCCGCACCTTCTCAATTCTAAGGAGTCCCAGAGTGATATGTAGAGTGGAAGGCGTGCATTTGTTCTTTTTAATGTCATTTGGGTGTTCATTAAAGTACTTGCGGCAGAACTCTTCGTGATAAGCGTGAACTTGAGGATTGTCAATTCGAATACAGAAAAAATAATTCGGCCAAACCTTTTTCTTTTTCGTCTGCTGCCCCTCCGCAATAGCTCGATTCATTTCAGAAGTCATACTATCTGAAACTGTTTCATCTGGTTCTATTGTTTCGAAATCGCCCCCATGTGGTACCTGCTCTTGAACTTGAGGTTTTGCCCAATCTACTTGGTAAACGTCTTGAACTATTTCCTCTTTTTCAGTGTTGGATGCATACTTCAGGAAGTCGAACTCATCTCTTCCTAAAACATGCAAATTTTGAAACTGACATGTTTTGAAAATTTCACTGCATCTAGAAATTATCTAGCAAATTTTCTCTGTATGTGCGCAATTTGAACAAAGGTGATGACTCACTGAGTGGTCAAAAAAATCTACTGCAATTCGGAAAATAAATTCACGAGCTATCTAGTGTTTAAAGAAAGTTTGAATGTATATGCACTAGAATATTGTATGATTTATATATTCTCACCCATTAAATAGTTATATAGAACAACCATTACACTGTAGTGTCATCATTTAACTGACCCAATTCGGTGATAAGTTCGTGTATCTGTTTCTCGTTGCCAGTAGACCCAAAAACAAGATCTAGCCTCAGCTCCTTGTCCCAGACTTTGGCGTCTTTGTACTTGAAGTATTGTATTCGGTGTTGAGGCACTACTGACGGATTTTTGCCGGTTTCCACGTCACATATATCTAGGCTCCAATCAAACGAGGAGAATGGTCGCTCAATTGTACCTAGAAAGCGGTCCAAATATCCTACCAAGAAGTTCTCCGAGGGCAGTTGTTCATCCCATTCTATACGATTGATTACATCCAAAGCTGTTTTCATACTGGGAAGCTTGCTATCTGAAACCTTGGTCGATTTTTTCCCCCTGTTTATATTCTGTTCTAAGCACAAAAAGCTTATTCAAAAGACGTACATGAGCACTTTTACGCATAAAATTTGAAACAATACAAACCATTTTTTGTGTTTTCTTTGCGCAAGGAAACAGTTTGGGAAGTGCTGGTGTTCGACTGTTCAGCATGGCAGCAGTCTTCTGTTCTAAAAATAAAAATCTGATATTGACATATATACTAGACGAAAATATTATACAGAGGCGGGGCTGATCTTCGAGCGAATTGTGATATCACACAAATATACCATTGAAAACTAGCAGACTGAAAATCAAGTAGAGCCACTCAGTCAAAAAAAAATCGAAAACCACGATTACAAAACATTCAAAAATTTTTGTCTGTAATGATGTTCAATTTGAAGGGAATCCAAAACATGCGCCGACATTAAATAAGTGTTCAGAAACACTTCTCGGTAACGCTAGAACATCGTTAACTCCCGTTGAGCCAAAAACAAAATTGCTGTGATGAAAAAATTACGCTACCCCTCTGGAAATATATAATTAGGTCACTAAGAAGATTAAACATAAGCTGAAACAACAAAGGCCGACTAAACATAAGCGCGAAAAAAGATAAGTTCAAAAAAACTCAGATTTAGCTATTTGAATCAGATATACAACATAAAAATAGAAAACATTCAGACAGCAAAACAATCAGACAAAACCCGCAGTTGAAACAAATTGAAACGTCGAAAAAAAACCAAGGTCGTGAAAAAAAATCCACGCTTGTCTTGAAGAAAACACAATTTTAAGAAAATATGTCAAAAAACAATTGCTAGAGTTTTTGTTTTTGCTGAAAAACTTTTTTCGGTCCGAGCAAATTTGGCTCATGATGTATCAACTTAGTCAAGTTATTTGTTAAGTTTGAAGGGCACCAATTGATAATTAATTTTGAATAATTCCGGTAGTTTCAAAGTTATGGAACTTAATGGCTGGAAAAAGATTGAACCACAAAAAACTTGGAAAATTTCTGGGCTCCCCAAAAACATTTGAAGTAATTATACCAAATCGCAGGTGGTAAAATTGAGTCGAAATGGATTCAAATTATGGTAAGCATTGTTCAAACCAAAATTAAAGTCTGAGTAGAAGTAAGCAGAAAAATAAAAGCAGACCCATAAAAGATCAATCGCATCACATCACTTGCCAAAAAATGCCAGAGTAGCATTGCAAGCTAGCGAAGGAAAACGAAACGAAAGAAGTATAGAAAAACTAAATTTCAAAAAACCAGTCGAAAAACGCAATAACAAGCATTGAATCGATTTACTGAGCGGCTACTAAGCAGACAACACGCGAGCAACGCCCATTGAGCCAAAAACAACTAACTTTGAAAAAGTTTCAAAAAAAACTTTAGCCATTAAAAAAGTTCTATAACTTTGAACTTTACACCAAACTACTTGAATTATTCAAAAAAAAATATCGATTGGTGCCCTTCAAAATAATTTGACTAATTTGATACAGCATAAGCCAAAATCGCTCGGGCCGAATAAAAGTTTTCAGCGAAAGCGAAAACAAAAAAAAACATAAAAATTTAAGGTTCGTAGAATTATTCTATAAATAGCATATTAAAAAACAAATGCAACTGCAATGAATGAAAATAGCTTAAGAAAACTACGTAACTATGCAAATAAGCTGACAATACGTTAGCTGACAATAAAACTCCCGGAAACGATAACCAAACCATACATACTAAAACGAAGGTTACGTCTAGACCAATTTTGGGAAGGAGTCTGGAAACTTTTTTTGGTATATTATTAAAGCAAGTTCCAATTCTTTAAGATTTGACAAATCAGCTATTGGCAGGATTTGAACATAATTCAAGAGTGAGAGCGAAATACATATTCTTGACATGCTCCAGATACAATTTATATTCATCAGCACGCGCCAGCTCATCTAATTTAGGCGTATAATTAATGAGAGGTAAGAGCTGAAAGACGCAAGTTGTAAATGAAAATACAGCCTGGTATAGTTAGCAGATGGAACACGAAATGGAAGGTAACTCGTAGCGGAACTTCGCACACTTGCGATACAACGCACGCGCAGCATTGCAAGCTAGCGAACAGAAAATGAGACGGTTACAAAAACATAGCCAACTGACAATTGTAAAAGAGTAATGCACGCAAGGAAACTGAAAAAAAAAACGCATGGAACTTTCAACTTTTGAAAACAATAAAAAAACTAGATGACCTTAAAGCTCTTTGAATTTGTAGATTAATTTATGAAAAACTTATTTTTGATGATTTTAACCTAATTTGATAAAACTGATCGATAGGTAAATCTTTTCTTTCACTTGGAAATCTGATAATTACTTTTCATTTTCGAAAATAGTAGCCGATCACGTTTTCGTGACCTTTACAATTTTGCTATTCGATAGTGAAGTTTGCCTTCTTTTATAGAAAAGAAAGGAAAAGCACTGGAAAAAAAATCAAAATTCAAACCGCCAAATTCACTACGTTCATTATTCTCAAAAATTGAACTTCTATAATGGAAAACGAAATCAATTTCAGAAAAAAAACAGTCGACAAACAAAATCAAGTTAAGTTTTTTTTTACTATTAACGGAGCGGCCACCAAGCCGACAAAAAAAGTTAAGAAGCCCATTGAGCCGGAAACAAAAAATTTCATATAAAATTTTTCTCATAAGAATTTTGATCATTTTGCTTTAAAAGTTAAAAATCTATTGGCAGGATTTGAACATAATTCAAGAGTGAGAGCGAAATACATATTCTTGACATGCTCCAGATACAATTTATATTCATCAGCACGCGCCAGCTCATCTAATTTAGGCGTATAATTAATGAGAGGTAAGAGCTGAAAGACGCAAGTTGTAAATGAAAATACAGCCTGGTATAGTTAGCAGATGGAACACGAAATGGAAGGTAACTCGTAGCGGAACTTCGCACACTTGCGATACAACGCACGTGCAGCATTGCAAGCTAGCGAACAGAAAATGAGACGGTTACAAAAACATAGCCAACTGACAATTGTAAAAGAGTAATGCACGCAAGGAAACTGAAAAAAAAAAACGCATGGAACTTTCAACTTTTGAAAACAATAAAAAAACTAGATGACCTTAACGCTCTTTGAATTTGTAGATTAATTTATGAAAAACTCATTTTTGATGATTTTAACCTAATTTGATAAAACTGATCGATAGGTAAATCTTTTCTTTCACTTGGAAATCTGATAATTACTTTTCATTTTCGAAATTAGTAGCCGATCACGTTTTCGTGACCTTTACAATTTTGCTGTTCGATAGTGAAGTTTGCCTTCTTTTATAGAAAAGAAAGGAAAAGCACTGGAAAAAAAATCAAAATTCAAACCGCCAAATTCACTACGTTCATTATTCTCAAAAATTGAACTTCTATAATGGAAAACGAAATCAATTTCAGAAAAAAAACAGTCGACAAACAAAATCAAGTTAAGTTTTTTTTTACTATTAACGGAGCGGCCACCAAGCCGACAAAAAAAGTTAAGAAGCCCATTGAGCCGGAAACAAAAAATTTCATATAAAATTTTTCTCATAAGAATTTTGATCATTTTGCTTTAAAAGTTAAAAATCTTCCAACACAAACTAACTCCATTTTTCAAAAAACTAAATCAATATCTGCCTTTAAAGCGACACAAAATAAGGTAGCCAGAGCAATACAACATCAACCGAAACCATTTGGGCCGAAAAAAATTTTCAAGCGAAAAAAATAAAGAAAAACCAAGAAAATATAAATACAATGTCAGTGCTTTTAATTCTACAAATAACAGAAGTAAAAGAAAACCCCTTGCATTTACGATGAAAACTACTGACAGCACAAGAAAATTCCCCAATGAGGCAACTAAGCCGACAAAACAAGCAGACAACTAAAGTCAATTCAAATATAATGAAAAAAAAAACGAGGTCCTGCCGGGACACAGACCCCAGGCCTTAGGTATATTGGCAACATCGTTATCTTTATGTCACGTGGGAAGGAGTCTCGAAGTTGCTACGTTTAACTAATAAAGTTGCTTTACAATTTCTTAAAGATTTCTAAGAAAAGTTGATTACGGGAATAAAGTCTGGTTCCCTATCAAAAGACACGTATAAAAATTTTCATATTTGTCCCGAATGAGGTGAAAGTTGTTACAAATCAGAAGTTACAAATCTTGCTGATTGAAGTCATCGTGGTCTTCAATGAAGTCCAGCTCGTATTCGGCACATAGATTTTTGAGACTCCTATGTATTTGCTGCAGGATCTCAGACTGTAACAGAATAACTGCAACCGTTTTTCCGAAACAATGTAGCTTGCCGTCTATTTGAAGATCAAAGGGTAGCTTAATTGGGTGAAGTAAATTCAGGTCTACCAGATCCGACATCAGTTGGATTGCCAGTTCATACTGCCGCACCTTCTCAATTCTAAGGAGTCCCAGAGTGATATGTAGAGTGGAAGGCGTGCATTTGTTCTTTTTAATGTCATTTGGGTGTTCATTAAAGTACTTGCGGCAGAACTCTTCGTGATAAGCGTGAACTTGAGGATTGTCAATTCGAATACAGAAAAAATAACTCGGCCAAACCTTTTTCTTTTTCGTCTGCTGCCCCTCCGCAATAGCTCGATTCATTTCAGAAGTCATACTATCTGAAACTGTTTCATCTGGTTCTATTGTTTCGAAATCGCCCCCATGTGGTACCTGCTCTTGAACTTGAGGTTTTGCCCAATCTACTTGGTAAACGTCTTGAACTATTTCCTCTTTTTCAGTGTTGGATGCATACTTCAGGAAGTCGAACTCATCTCTTCCTAAAACATGCAAATTTTGAAACTGACATGTTTTGAAAATTTCACTGCATCTAGAAATTATCTAGCAAATTTTCTCTGTATGTGCGCAATTTGAACAAAGGTGATGACTCACTGAGTGGTCAAAAAAATCTACTTTAATTCGGAAAATAAATTCACGAGCTATCTAGTGTTCAAAGAAAGTTTGAATGTATATGCACTAGAATATTGTATGATTTATATATTCTCACCCATTAAATAGTTATATAGAACAACCATTACACTGTAGTGTCATCATTTAACTGACCCAATTCGGTGATAAGTTCGTGTATCTTTTTCTCGTTGCCAGTAGACCCAAAAACAAGATCTAGCCTCAGCTCCTTGTCCCAGACTTTGGCGTCTTTGTACTTGAAGTATTGTATTCGGTGTTGAGGCACTGCTGACGGATTTTTGCCGGTTTCCACGTCACATATATCTAGGCTCCAATCAAACGAGGAGAATGGTCGCTCAATTGTACCTAGAAAGCGGTCCAAATATCCTACCAAGAAGTTCTCCGAGGGCAGTTGTTCATCCCACTCTATACGATTGATTACATCCAAAGCTGTTTTCATAGTGGGAAGCTTGCTATCTGAAACCTTGGTCGATTTTTCCCCCTGTTTATATTCTGTTCTAAGCACAAAAAGCTTATTCAGAAGACGTACATGAGCACTTTTACGCATAAAATTTGAAACAATACAAACCATTTTTTGTGTTTTCTTTGCGCAAGGAAACAGTTTGGGAAGTGCTGGTGTTCGACTGTTCAGCATGGCAGCAGTCTTCTGTTCTAAAAACAAAAATCTGATATTGACATGTATACAAGACGAAAATATTATACAGAGGCGGGGCTGATCTTCGAGCGAATTGTGATATCACACAAATATACCATTGAAAACTAGCAGACTGAAAATCAAGTAGAGCCACTCAGTCAAAAAAAAAAATCGAAAACCACGATTACAAAACATTCAAAAATTTTTGTCTGTAATGATGTTCAATTTGAAGGGAATCCAAAACATGCGCCGACATTAAATAAGTGTTCAGAAACACTTCTCGGTAACGCTAGAACATTGTTAACTCCCGTTGAGCCAAAAACAAAATTGCTGTGATGAAAAAATTACGCTACCCCTCTGGAAATATATAATTAGGTCACTAAGAAGATTAAACATAAGCTGAAACAACAAAGGCCGACTAAACATAAGCGCGAAAAAAGATAAGTTCAAAAAACTCAGATTTAGCTATTTGAATCAGATATACAACATAAAAATAGAAAATATTCAGACAGCAAAACAATCAGACAAAACCCGCAGTTGAAACAAATTGAAACGTCGAAAAAAAACCAAGGTCGTGAAAAAAAATCCACGCTTGTCTTGAAGAAAACACAATTTTAAGAAAATATGTCAAAAAACAATTGCTAGAGTTTTTGTTTTTGCTGAAAAACTTTTTTCGGTCCGAGCAAATTTGGCTCATGATGTATCAACTTAGTCAAGTTATTTGTTAAGTTTGAAGGGCACCAATTGATAATTGTTTTTGAATAATTCCGGTAGTTTGCAAAACAAAGTTCAAAGTTCAAAGTTATAGAACTTAATGGCTGGAAAAAAATTGAACCACAAAAAACTTGGAAAATTTCTGGGCTCCCCAAAAACATTTGAAGTAATTATACCAAATCGCAGGTGGTAAAATTGAGTCGAAATGGATTCAAATTATGGTAAGCATTGTTCAAACCAAAATTAAAGTCTGAGTAGAAGTAAGCAGAAAAAAAAAGCAGACACATAAAAGATCAATCGCATCACATCACTTGCCGAAAAATGCCAGAGTAGCATTGCAAGCTAGCGAAGGAAAACGAAACAAAAGAAGTATAGAAAAACTAAATTTCAAAAAACCAGTCGAAAAACGCAATAACAAGCATTGAATCGATTTACTGAGCGGCTACTAAGCAGACAACACGCGAGCAACGCCCATTGAGCCAAAAACAACTAACTTTGAAAAAGTTTCAAAAAAAACTTGAGCCATTAAAAAAGTTCTATAACTTTGAACTTTACACCAAACTACTTGAATTATTCAAAAAAAAATATCGATTGGTGCCCTTCAAAATAATTTGACTAATTTGATACAGCATAAGCCAAAATCGCTCGGGCCGAATAAAAGTTTTCAGCGAAAGCGAAAACAAAAAAAAAACATAAAAATTTAAGGTTCGTAGAATTATTCTATAAATAGCAAATTAAAAAACAAATGCAACTGCAATGAATGAAAATAGCTTAAGAAAACTACCTAACTATGCAAATAAGCTGACAATACGTTAGCTGACAATATAACTCCCGGAAACGATAACCAAACCATACATACTAAAACGAAGGTTACGTCTAGACCAATTTTGGGAAGGAGTCTGGAAACTTTTTTTGGTATATTATTAAAGCAAGTTCCAATTCTTTAAGATTTGACAAATCAGCTATTGGCAGGATTTGAACATAATTCAAGAGTGAGAGCGAAATACATATTCTTGACATGCTCCAGATACAATTTATATTCATCAGCACGCGCCAGCTCATCTAATTTAGGCGTATAATTAATGAGAGGTAAGAGCTGAAAGACGCAAGTTGTAAATGAAAATACAGCCTGGTATAGTTAGCAGATGGAACACGAAATGGAAGGTAACTCGTAGCAGAACTTCGCACACTTGCGATACAACGCACGCGCAGCATTGCAAGCTAGCGAACAGAAAATGAGACGGTTACAAAAACATAGCCAACTGACAATTGTAAAAGAGTAATGAACGCAAGGAAACTGAAAAAAAAACGCATGGAACTTTCAACTTTTGAAAACAATAAAAAAACTAGATGACCTTAAAGCTCTTTGAATTTGTGGATTAATTTATGAATAACTCATTTTTGATGATTTTAACCTAATTTGATAAAACTGATCGATAGGTAAATCTTTTCTTTCACTTGGAAATCTGATAAATACTTTTCATTTTCGAAATTAGTAGCCGATCACGGTTTCGTGACCTTTACAATTTTGCTGTTCGATAGTGAAGTTTGCCTTCTTTTATAGAAAAGAAAGGAAAAGCACTGGAAAAAAAATCAAAATTCAAACCGCCAAATTCACTACGTTCATTATTCTCAAAAATTGAACTTCTATAATGGAAAACGAAATCAATTTCAGAAAAAAAACAGTCGACAAACAAAATCAAGTTAAATTTTTTTTTTACTATTAACGGAGCGGCCACCAAGCCGACAAAAAAAGTTAAGAAGCCCATTGAGCCGGAAACAAAAAATTTCATATAAAATTTTTCTCATAAGAATTTTGATCATTTTGCTTTAAAAGTTAAAAATCTTCCAACACAAACTACCTCCATTTTTCAAAAAACTAAATCAATATCTGCCTTTAAAGCGACACAAAATAAGGTAGCCAGAGCAATACAACATCAACCGAAACCATTCGGGCCGAAAAAAATTTTCAAGCGAAAAAAATAGAGAAAAACCAAGAAAATATATATACAATGTCAGTGCTATTAATTCTACAAATAACAGAAGTAAAAGAAAACCCCTTGCATTTACGATGAAAACTACTGACAGCACAAGAAAATTCCCCAATGAGGCAACTAAGCCGACAAAACAAGCAGACAACTAAAGTCAATTCAAATATAATGAAAAAAAACGAGGTCCTGCCGGGACGCAGACCCCAGGCCTTAGGTATATTGGCAACATCGTTATCTTTATGTCACGTGGGAAGGAGTCTCGAAGTTGCTACGTTTAACTAATAAAGTTGCTTTACAATTTCTTAAAGATTTCTAAGAAAAGTTGATTACGGGAATAAAGTCTGGTTCCCTATCAAAAGACACATATAAAAATTTTCATATTTGTCCCGAATGAGGTGAAAGTTGTTACAAATCAGAAGTTACAAATCTTGCTGATTGAAGTCATCGTGGTCTTCAATGAAGTCCAGCTCGTATTCGGCACATAGATTTTTGAGACTCCTATGTATTTGCTGCAGGATCTCAGACTGTAACAGAATAACTGCAACCGTTTTTCCGAAACAATGTAGCTTGCCGTCTATTTGAAGATCAAAGGGTAGCTTAATTGGGTGAAGTAAATTCAGGTCCACCAGATCCGACATCAGTTGGATTGCCAGTTCATACTGCCGCACCTTCTCAATTCTAAGGAGTCCCAGAGTGATATGTAGAGTGGAAGGCGTGCATTTGTTCTTTTTAATGTCATTTGGGTGTTCATTAAAGTACTTGCGGCAGAACTCTTCGTGATAAGCGTGAACTTGAGGATTGTCAATTCGAATACAGAAAAAATCATTCGGCCAAACCTTTTTCTTTTTCGTCTGCTGCCCCTCCGCAATAGCTCGATTCATTTCAGAAGTCATACTATCTGAAACTGTTTCATCTGGTTCTATTATTTCGAAATCGCCCCCATGTGGTACCTGCTCTTGAACTTGAGGTTTTGCCCAATCTACTTGGTAAACGTCTTGAACTATTTCCTCTTTTTCAGTGTTGGATGCATACTTCAGGAAGTCGAACTCATCTCTTCCTAAAACATGCAAATTTTGAAACTGACATGTTTTGAAAATTTCACTGCATCTAGAAAATATCTAGCAAATTTTCTCTGTATGTGCGCAATTTGAACAAAGGTGATGACTCACTGAGTGGTCAAAAAAATCTACTGCAATTCGGAAAATAAATTCACGAGCTATCTAGTGTTTAAAGAAAGTTTGAATGTATATGCACTAGAATATTGTATGATTTATATATTCTCACCCATTAAATAGTTATATAGAACAGTTAACTGACCCAATTCGGTGATAAGTTCGTGTATCTTTTCTCGTTGCCAGTAGACCCAAAAACAAGATCTAGCCTCAGCTCCTTGTCCCAGACTTTGGCGTCTTTGTACTTGAAGTATTGTATTCGGTGTTGAGGCACTGCTGACGGATTTTTGCCGGTTTCCACGTCACATATATCTAGGCTCCAATCAAACGAGGAGAATGGTCGCTCAATTGTACCTAGAAAGCTGTCCAAATATCCTACCAAGAAGTTCTCCGAGGGCAGTTGTTCATCCCACTCTATACGATTGATAACATCCAAAGCTGATTTCATACTGGGAAGCTTGCTATCTGAAACCTTGGTCGATTTTTCCCCCTGTTTATATTCTGTTCTAAGCACAAAAAGCTTATTCAGAAGACGTACATGAGCACTTTTACGCATAAAATTTGAAACAATACAAACCATTTTTTGTGTTTTCTTTGCGCAAGGAAACAGTTTGGGAAGTGCTGGTGTTCGACTGTTCAGCATGGCAGCAGTCTTCTGTTCTAAAAATAAAAATCTGATATTGACATATATACTAGACGAAAATATTATACAGAGGCGGGGCTGATCTTCGAGCGAATTGTGATATCACACAAATATACCATTGAAAACTAGCAGACTGAAAATCAAGTAGAGCCACTCAGTCAAAAAAAATCGAAAACCACGATTACAAAACATTCAAAAAATTTTGTCTGTAATGATGTTTAATTTGCGCCGACATTAAATAAGTGTTCAGAAACACTTCTCGGTAACGCTAGAACATCGGTAACTCCCGTTGAGTCAAAAACAAAATTGCTGTGATGAAAAAATTACGCTACCCCTCTGGAAATATATAATAAGGTCACTAAGAAGATTAAACATAAGCTGAAACAACAAAGGCCGACTAAACATAAGCGCGAAAAAAGATAAGTTCAAAAAACTCAGATTTAGCTATTTGAATCAGATATACAACATAAAAATAGAAAATATTCAGACAGCAAAACAATCAGACAAAACCCGCAGTTGAAACAAATTGAAACGTCGAAAAAAAACCAAGGTCGTGAAAAAAAAATCCACGCTTGTCTTGAAAAAAACACAATTTTAAGAAAATATATCAAAAACAATTGCTAGTAGAGTTTTTGTTTTTGCTGAAAAACTTTTTCTCCCCAAAAACATTTGAAGTAATTTTACCAAATCGCAGGTGGTAAAATTGAGTCGAAATGGATTCAAATTATGGTAAGCATTGTTCAAACCAAAATTAAAGTCTGAGTAGAAGTAAGCAGAAAAATAAAAGCAGACCTATAAAAGATCAATCGCATCACATCACTTGCCAAAAAATGCCAGAGTAGCATTGCAAGCTAGCGAAGGAAAACGAAACGAAAGAAGTTTAGAAAAACTAAATTTCAAAAAACCAGTCGAAAAACGCAATAACAAGCATTGAATCGATTTACTGAGCGGCTACTAAGCAGACAACACGCGAGCAACGCCCATTGAGCCAAAAACAACTAACTTTGAAAAAGTTTCAAAGAAAAACTTGAGCCATTAAAAAAGTTCTATAACTTTGAACTTTACACCAAACTACTTGAATTATTCAAAAAAAAATATCGATTGGTGCCCTTCAAAATAATTTGACTAATTTGATACAGCATAAGCCAAAATCGCTCGGGCCGAATAAAAGATTTCAGCGAGAGCGAAAACAAAAAAAAACTAAAAATTTAAGGTTCGTAGAATTATTCTATAAATAGCAAATTAAAAAACAAATGCAACTGCAATGAATGAAAATAGCTTAAGAAAACTACGTAACTAAAAATAAGCTGACAATACTATAGCTGACAATAAAACTCCCGGAAACGATAACCAAACCATACATACTAAAACGAAGGTTACGTCTAGACAAATTTTGGGAAGGAGTCTGGAAACTTTTTTTGGTATATTATTAAAGCAAGTTCCAATTCTTTAAGATTTGACAAATCAGCTATTGGCAGGATTTGAACATAATTCAAGAGTGAGAGCGAAATACATATTCTTGACATGCTCCAGATACAATTTATATTCATCAGCACGCGCCAGCTCATCTAATTTAGGCGTATAATTAATGAGAGGTAAGAGCTGAAAGACGCAAGTTGTAAATGAAAATACAGCCTGGTATAGTTAGCAGATGGATCCCGAAATGGAAGGTAACTCGTAGCGGAACTTCGCACACTTGCGATACAACGCACGCGCAGCATTGCAAGCTAGCGAACAGAAAATGAGACGGTTACAAAAACATAGCCAACTGACAATTGTAAAAGAGTAATGAACGCAAGGAAACTGAAAAAAAAAACGCATGGAACTTTCAACTTTTGAAAACAATAAAAAAACTAGATGACCTTAAAGCTCTTTGGATTTGTGGATTAATTTATGAATAACTCATTTTTGATGATTTTAACCTAATTTGATAAAACTGATCGATAGGTAAATCTTTTCTTTCACTTGGAAATCTGATAATTACTTTTCATTTTCGAAATTAGTAGCCGATCACGTTTTCGTGACCTTTACAATTTTGCTGTTCGATAGTGAAGTTTGCCTTCTTTTATAGAAAAGAAAGGAAAAGCACTGGAAAAAAATCAAAATTCAAACCGCCAAATTCACTACGTTCATTATTCTCAAAAATTGAACTTCTATAATGGAAAACAAAATCAATTTCAGAAAAAAACAGTCGACAAACAAAATCAAGTTAAATTTTTTTTTTACTATTAACGGAGCGGCCATCAAGCCGACAAAAAAAGTTAAGAAGCCCATTGAGCCGGAAACAAAAAATTTCATATAAAATTTTTCTCATAAGAATTTTGATCATTTTGCTTTAAAAGTTAAAAATCTTCCAACACAAACTACCTCCATTTTTCAAAAAACTAAATCAATATCTGCCTTTAAAGCGACACAAAATAAGGTAGCCAGAGCAATACAACATCAACCGAAACCATTTGGGCCGAAAAAAAATTTTCAAGCGAAAAAATTAAAGAAAAACCAAGAAAATATATATACAATGTCAGTGCTATTAATTCTACAAATAACAGAAGTAAAAGAAAACCCCTTGCATTTACGATGAAAACTACTAACAGCACAAGAAAATTCCCCAATGAGGCAGCTAAGCCGACAAAACAAGCAGACAACTAAAGTCAATTCAAATATATTGAAAAAAAAAACGAGGTCCTGCCGGGACGCAGACCCCAGGCCTTAGGTATATTGGCAACATCGTTATCTTTATGTCATGTGGGAAGGAGTCTCGAAGTTGCTACGTTTAACTAATAAAGTTGCTTTACAATTTCTTAAAGATTTCTAAGAAAAGTTGATTACGCGAATAAAGTCTGGTTCCCTATCAAAAGACACATATAAAAATTTTCATATTTGTCCCGAATGAGGTGAAAGTTGCTACAAATCAGAATTTACAAATCTTGCGTCCAAATGCGACTGCTCAATTGCTTTTTAACGAGATGTGAGATTTTTCTGTTATTTTAAAAATTTTCAACAAACTTGATAAAACAAAAATCACAAAATTGAACAGTTTTCAAAGTTTGAATCAAAAAAAAATTTGAAATCAACCCTGTAATTGGGTTCTGTCAGAGTACACTCAAAGGATGCAAAGATTATTTCCAAACATATGCTGTTTTTTGTGAGTTGTCATAAATTCGAAGCACCAGAGGTCCGTTACACGCTAGTAATAATGAAATCAAAAGCACCTGAAAAACTAACGAATTGGATAGGAAAATCAAATTATTGCTAACAAAACTTTGTATTCAGGTTTTAATGTCAACAATTGCGATACCAGAGCAAAGATTGCGTTACGAAATCAAGAAGATAGAAAAACAAAGCCGAATTTTTTCTGAAAAACTTAAAAAAAACTACGCCAACAAAAACTTCATTTTTGTAATGGAAGTTATGCATAAACATCCTTAAAATCATTGGGAATCATTTACCGATCGGCAACTAAGGTGAAAAGTTTTGAGCGTACCCCTGTTGAGCCGAAAAAAAACGTGAACATAAAAAATTAGTTTTTTGCAACTCATCCGCACTAAAACACAAAGACGCATAGGGATATAATTTGCTATCAAAACTACCCAATATAAGTTGACTTACCAGATATAACATTTTTCAAAACAACTTAATCGAGAAAAAAATGAGAAAAAAATAAAATAAATCAAAATTAGAAATGATAAACATACAAATTATTGAACTTTCAAAATAGTTCAAACTTTTTAAATTGAAATAAACAATATGCTTTAGAAAGTTAGTCAATAAGAAAACTGTGTCAGTAAATATGAATGGTAATTTAAAGAAGGAAAATGAATCAAAAGAAACCACGAATCCGAAAAAAAATGATATTTGAAACGAAATTCACTTTATTACTTCTTATCGGATAGTAAATTTTATAGATTTTCAAGAAACTGAGCATATCAGAACTGAAATTCACCCTTTCCATCTAAATTGACCATTCTGTGAAATAAATTTTTTACGGGCAAACAATTTGATCGTAAGGGTAAAGATAGAAAACAAAACAGACAATTGGAAGAAAGTCAATGAACGAAGGGAAATAGAAACAACTATTGACTTGTATTTGTCGAAAAAATCTCAACTTTCAAATTGAAGAAAAGATACATCGCCTTAAAAGTTCTGAGAATTTCAAGAACAAAGTATGATTGATTTTTTTTTGATAAAATTAACCCACTTTGAGAAAACTTGATCAATAAATAATCTTTCTATTCGGCTGGGAAATCTGAAAACATGAAATCCACTTTGTAGTAGTAAAAACATAGTTGAAAGATGCCCGAGGGAAAAAGAGTCCTGCCTGAGGGCACGAAGTGCCCGAGTGCGACTCTTCTGCCAGAGGCCATCTTCAACTATGTTCTAACTGTTGAAGAGTTTGTTTTTGTTCTTTTTGAGTGAAAGATGCCAGAAAATTGTGAAAGAGCCCGGAGAACTGTGAAAGAGCCCGGAAAAGTGCGCGAAAGTATGCAAATGATTTCTTTTTTCATTCATGTGTTCTAATATTTCATTTTTCTTTCACGCCTTGTCGTGAAAGAACATGTGTGAAAGAGCGAAAACATACTCCTCCGAAACTAGAAGTCGATCACGTTTTTGGTGACCTTTACACTTTCGTAATTGTAGATCGCATTTTATCTCACATTTAGCAGAAAAAATTGAAATCAAATAGTGCCGAAGAGTCTGAACTACGTTCATCGACTCTTACTTGGTCATTTGTTATTCAGTCTGAAACTGATAATAAGTGTGATTTTGCTGTTAAACCTTTTTTTGGAGAATCTGGCACCTGTTCTATTAATGAAATTATGAGGGAAAAAATATTACTCAAATGATACGCTTTGTTTAACCTTATAGAAAAAAAACGCACTTAAGGCATATTTCTCCAATAATAAGTCGGAGATCAGAGCGGAAACTATTTGTTCGTTTACACCTATATAGTCAGCCATTTAACGAGAAATTATGTCTTTCAGATTGTGAGCAAAAAAAAACTTCAAAAAGGTCAAACTTTTACAGCAAAAACAACACCCTTATTAGCTTGCAGGTGCTTCTAAAATGAATGCACACCTTTCATTGTCATCCATTTTTTTTTAAAATTGGCTGTAATCTGTGTACAAATTACACTCAGTTGTGTCACTCCATGCCCCTCCGTCATAGCTAATCCAGCTGCAAACTGCTCCAAATTAGAACCCCTCTTCACGTCGTAAGCTTCAAGAGTCAACGTATAGGATGGAGGATCCAACTCGTGAACAAACACGCCCACTGTTACATAGGCTAAAAAAGACTTCAAACGAGATCGCAGAAAGATGAGAACCTGTTCTGGTGACTAAATTTCTGTCTTGAAATTATCTAACAATTTGTCCAATTACACAAGATTTTCTAGGAGCTCATCTGGGAGAATATTAATTTCCGTCATACTAATAGCTAAAATATGCTCTACCTTCATCGAGCAAAACCTCAAACAATGAACATATAGAATCAAAAACATTGAACATATAGAATCAAAAGTTTACACAGAATCCAAGCAGAGCTTCACTTTAATTGTTATACATCTATAGAGGGATCTGAAAACGTAAATTGGAAACGTTTTCGCATATTTGCGCAGCATCAGGTTTTAAAATATTAAAACTTTATAAAATGATCATCGATTATAAAAATATCTTGAGAAAATGACTATACAAAATCATGAAAAATCAACCAATCAGAAGATTGCATATTTAAAATTAGCGCCAAAATTACATTATGATTTCATCATAAGACTTAAGTTTCTGAGACATTCTATTGATTGTATTTCTTAATCAAATTAAAGTTAAATTTATTTTTTCGATTTGTCTGATTTCCCATTTTCGAAACATGTTTATTTTTATTTCGAAACATTCATTTATTTTTAAATTGGCCGAAAACTCCTTCTAAGATCAGAAGCCTAACGTTGGTGTTAGCTTGGTCTATAACCTCCCATGACGTTCACGCGCTCGTGGCCTCATTTCCACTCGGCTGGGAAATCTGAAAACATGAAATCCACTTTGTAGTAGTTAGAACATAGTTCAAAGATGCCCGAGGGAAAAAGAGCCCTGCCTGTGGGCACGAAGTGCCCGAGTGCGGCACTTTTGCCCGAGGCCATCCTCAACTATGTTCTAACTGTTGAAGAGTACGTTTTTGTTCTTTCTGAGTGAAAGATACAAGAAAATTGTGGGAGAGCCCGGAAAACTGTGAGAAAATCCGGAACAGTGCGCGAAACTATGCAAATGATTTCTTTTCATTCATGTGTTCTAATATTTCAAATTTCATTTACGCTTTGTCGTAAAAGAACATGTGTAAAAGCGCAAAAACATACTCTTCCGAAACTTGAAGTCAATCACGTTTTTGGTGACCTTTACACTTTCCTAGTTGGAGATCGCAACTTACCTCACATTTAGCAGATAAAATTGAAATCAAATAGTGCTGAAGAGTCTAAACTACATTCATCGACTCTTATTTGGTCATTTGTTATTCAGTCTGAAACTGATAATAAGTGTGATTTTCCTGTTAAACCTTTTTTGTAGAATCTTGAAATTATGAGGGAAAAAAAGATTACTCAAATGACACGCTTTGTTTAACCTTATTAAAAAACGCACTTAAGCCATATTTCTTCAATAATAAGTCGGAGAGCAAAGCGGAAAACTGATTTGTTCAATTACACCTATATAGTCAGCCATTTAACGAGAAATTATGTCTTTGAGATTGTGAGTAAAAAAATCTTTAGAAAATGTCACTTTTTGACAGCAAAAACAACACCCTTATTAGCTTGCAGGTGCTTCTAAACTCTACGGATGTCGCAAAGTGAATGCACACCTTTCATTGTCATCCATTGTTTTAAAACTGGCTGTAATCTGTGTGAAAATTACACTCAGTTGTGTCACTCCATGCCCCTCCGTCATAGCTAATCCAACTGCAAACTGCTCCAATTTAGAACCCCTCTTCACGCCGTAAGCTTCAAGAGTCAACGCATAGGATGGAGGCTCCAACTCAAGAACAAACACGCCCACTGTTACATTGGCTAAAAAAGACTTCAAGGGAGATCGCAGAGTGATGAGAACCTGTTCTGGTGACTGAATTTCTGTCTTGAAATTATCTAACAATTTTAAACTCTACGGAAGTCGAAAAGTGAATAAACACCTTTCATTGGCATCCATTGTTTTAAAATTAACTGCAATCTGTGTACACATTACACTCAGTTGTCTCACTCCATGCCATTCCGTCATAGCTAATCCAGCTGCAAACTGCTCCAATTTAGAACCCCTCTTCACGTCGTAAGATTCAAGAGTCAACGCAAAGGATGGAGGCTCCAACTCGTGAACAAACACGCCCACTGTTACAGAGGCTAAAAAAGACTTCAAAGGAGATCGCAGAGTGATGAGAACCTGTTCTTGTGATTGAATTTCTGTCTTCAAATTATCTAACAATTTTTCCAGTTCCACATGATTTTCTAGGAGGTAATCGGGGAGAATATTAATTTCCGTCAAACTAATAGCTAAAATATGCTCTACCTTCATCGAGCAAAACCTTAAACAATGAACATATAGAATCAAAAACATTGAACACATAGAATCAAAAGTTTACACAGATCCCAAGCAGAGCTTCACTTCAATTGTATACATCTATAGAGGGAATTGAAAACGTCAATTAGAAACGTTTTCGCATATTTGCGCATCATCAGGTTTTAAAATAATAAAACTTTATAAAATGATCATCGATTATAAAAATATCTTGAGACAATGACTATACAAAATCATGAAAAATCAACCAATCAAAAGATTGCAATTTTAAAATTCGCGCAAAAATTACATTATGATTTTATCATGAGACTTAAGTTTCTGAGACATTCTATTGATTGTATCTCTTAATCAAATTGAAGTTAAATTTAATTTTTCGATTTGTCTGATTTCCCATTTTCGAAACATGTTTATTTTTATTTCGAAATAATTCAATTATTTTTAAATTGGCCGAAAACTCCTTCTAAGATCAGAAGCTTAACGTTGGTGTTAGCTTGGTCTATAACCTCCCATGACGTTCACGGGCTCGTGCCCTCATTTCCACTCGGCTGGGAAATCTGAAAACATGAAATCCACTTTCTAGTAGAATATATTTGAAAGATGCCCGAGGGACTTTTGCCCGAGGCCATCTTCAACTATGTTCTAACTGTTGAAGAGTATGTTTTTGTTCTTTCTGAGTTAAAGATGCAAGAAAATTGTGAAAGAGCCCGGAAAACTGTGAAAGAGCCCGGAACAGTGCGCGAAACTATGCAAATGATTTCTTTTTTCATTCATGTATTCTAATATTTTATTTTTCGTTCACGCCTTGTCGTGAAAGAACTTGTGTGAAAGAGCAAAAACATACTCTTCCGAAACTAGAAGTCGATCACGTTTTTGGTGACCTTTACACTTTCGTAGTTGGAGATCGCAACTTACCTCACATTTAGCAGATAAAAGTGAAATCAAATAGTGCTGAAGAGTCTGAACTACGTTCATCGACTCTTATTTGGTCATTTGTTATTCAGTCTGAAACTGATATATAGTGTCAATTTTCTGTTAAACCTTTTTTGGAGAATCTGGCACCTGTTCTATTAATTGAAATTATGAGAAAAAAGATTACTCACATGACACGCTGTGTTTAATCTTATAGAAAAAAAACGCACTTAAGCCATATTTCTCCAATAATAAGTCGGAGAGCAGAGCGGTAAACTGATTTGTTCGTTTACACCTATATAGTCATCCATTTAACGAGAAATTGTGTCTTTCAGATTGTGAGCAAAAAAAAACTTTAAAAAAAGTCATTTTTTGACAGCAAAAACAACACTCTTATTAGCTTGCCGGTGCTTCTAAACTCTACGGATGTCGCATAGTGAATGGACACCTTTCATTGTCATCCATTGTCTTAAAATTGGCTGCAATCTGTGTACACATTACACTCAGTTGTGTCACTCCATGCCCCTCCGTCATAGCTAATCCAGCTGCAAACTGCTCCTATTTAGAACCCCTCTTCACGTCGTAAGCTTCAAGAGTCAACGCATAGGATGGAGGCTCCAACTCGTGAACAAACACGCCCACTGTTACATAGGCTAAAAAAGAATTCAAAGGAGATCGCAGAGTGATGAGAACCTGTTCTGGTGACTGAATTTTTGTCTTGAAATTATCTAACAATTTTTCCAATTCCACAAGATTTTCTAGGAGCTCATCTGGGAGAACATTAATTTTCATCATACTAGTGGCTAAAATATGCTCTACCTTCATCGAGCAAAACCTTAAACAATGAACATATAGAATCAAAAACATTGAACATATAGAATCAAAAGTTTACACAGAATCCAAGCAGAGCTTCACTTTAATTGTATACATCTGTAGAGGGATTTGAGAACGTAAATTAGAAACGTTTTCGCATATTTGCGCATCATCAGGTTTTAAAATATTAAAACTTTATAAAATGATCATCGATTATAAAAATATCTTGAGACAATGACTATACAAAATCAAGAAAAATCAACCAATCAGAAGATTGCAAATTTAAAATTCGCGCCAAAATTACACTATGATTTTATCATGAGACTTCGGTTTCTGAGACATTCTACTGATTGTATCTCTTAATCAAATTAAAGTTAAATTTAATTTTTCGATTTGTCTGATTTCCCATTTTCGAAACAGGTTTATTTTTATTTCGAAAATTATTCATTTATTTTTAAATTGGCCAAAAACTCCTTCTAAGATCAGAAGCTTAACGTTGGTGTTAGCTTGGTCTATAACCTCCCATGAAGTTCACGCGCTCGTGCCCTCATTTCCACACTGCCTTAGATACAAAACAAAACCAACACAAATTTACCAGCAAGGTGCTGAAGGGGTTGCCCCCCCCACAAACAAAAAAAGCACCACAGACTCCTAACTAACTACAACTTGAGCAACGGCACGCAAATCTCCATGTACAAGTGTCCACAGTGTTGTAATTATTCGCCTGAAGAATTCAATGTACGGGAGTTCCAGATTAACAGTAGGAATAATCGACAAAAACTTCATTTTTTTAACGGAAGTTATACATAAACATCCTTTAAAAGCATTGGGAATCATTTACCGAGCGGCAACTAAGGCGAAAAGTTTTGAGCGTACCCATGTTGAGCCGAAAAAAAAGTGAACATAAAAAATTGTATTAAGTTTTTTGCAACTCATCCGTACTAAAACACAAAGACGCATAGGGATATAATTTGCGATCAAAACTACCCAATAAAGGTTGACTTACCAGATATAACATTTTTTCAAAACAACTTAATCGAGAAAAAAAATGCGAAAAAAAATAAAATAAATCAAAATTAGAAATGATAAACATACAAATTATTGAACTTTCAAAATAGTTCAAACTTTTTTAATTAAAATAAACAATATGCGTTAGAAAGTAAGTCGATAAGAAAACTGTGTCAGTTAATATGAATGGTAATTTAAAAAAGGAAAATGAATCAAAAGAAACCACGAATCCGAAAAAACAAATTAATACCTGAAACGAAATTCACCTTATTACTTCTTATCGGATAGTAAATTTTATAGATTTTCAAGAAATTGAGCATATCAGAACTGAAATTAACCATTCCATCTAAATTGACCATTCTGTGAAATAAATTATTTACGGGCAAACAATTTGACCGTAAGGGTAAAGATAGAAAACAGACAATTGGAAGAGAGTCAATGAACGAAGGGAAACAGAAACAACTATTGACTTGTTTTTGTCGAAAAAATCTCAATTTTCAAATTGAAGAAAAGATAGATCGCCTTAAAAGTTCTGAGAATTTCAAGAACAATTTTTGATTGATTTTTTTTGATAAAACTAACCCACTTGGAGAAAACTGGATCAAAAGATAATCTTTCTATTCGGCTGGGAAATCTGAAAACATGAAACCCACTTTGTAGTAGTAAGAATATAGTTGAAAGATGCTCGAGGGGAAAAGAGCCCTGCCTGAGGGCACGAAGTGCCCGAGTGCGGCTCTTTTGCCCGAGGCCATCTTCAACTATGTTCTAACTGTTGAAGATTTTGTTTTTGTTCTTTCTGAGTGAAAGATGCCAGAAAATTGTGAAAGAGCCCGGAAAACTGTGAAAGAGCCCGGAAAAGTGCGCGAAACTATGCAAATGATTTCTTTTTTCATTCGTGTGTTCCAATATTTTATTTTTCTTTCACGCCTTGTCGTGAAAGAACATGTGTGAAAGAGCAAAAACATACTCCTCCGAAACTAGAAGTCGATCAATTTTTTGGTGACCTTTACACTTTCGTAATTGTAGATCGCATTTTATCTCACATTTAGCAGAAAAAATTGAAATCAAATAGTGCCGAAGAGTCTGAACTACGTTCATCGACTCTTATTTGGTCATTTGTTATTCAGTCTGAAACTGATATTAAGTGTGATTTTGCTGTTAAACCTTTTTTGGAGAATCTGGCACCTGTTCTATTAACTGAAATTATGAGGGAAAAGATATTACTCAAATTATACGCTTTGTTTAACCTTATAGAAAAAAAACGCACTTAATCCATATTTCTCCAATAATAAGTCGAAGAGCAAAGCGGAAAATTGATTTGTTCAATTACACCTATATAGTCAGCCATTTAACGAGAAACTATGTCTTTCAGATTGTGAGCAAAAAAAAGGTCTCTTTTTGACAGCAAAAACAACACCCTTATTAGATAGCAGGTGCTTCTTAACTCTATGGAAGTCGCAAAGTGAATGCACACCTTTCATTGTCATCCATTGTTTTAAAACTGGCTGCAATCTGTTTACACATTACACTCAGTTGTGTCACTCCATGCCCCTCCGTCATAGCTAATCCAGCTGCAAACTGCTCCAATTTAGAACCCCTCTTCACGTCGTAAGCTTCAAGAGTCAACGCATAGGATGGAGGCTCCAATTCGTGAACAAACACGCCCACTGTTACATAGGCTAAAAACGACTTCAAAGGAGATCGCAAAGTGATGAGAACCTGTTCTGGTGACTGAACTTCTGTCTTGAAATTATCTAACAATTTTTCCAATTCCACAAGATTTTCTAGGAGCTCATCTGGGAGAATACTAATTTCCGTCATACTAATAGCTAAAATATGCTCTACCTTCATCGAGAAAACCCTTAAACAATGAATACATAGAATCAAAAACTTTGAACATATAGAATCAAAAGTTTTCACATAATCCAAGCAGAACAGAAACCGTCTAGTACTGCAGAAAACGCATCGCAATGAGAGAAAATTAAGTCAGTGCAACAATCTAAATTGTTTCTCCATTACGTGGTAATCAGAAGGTCAAAAGTATCATAGTAACCGAGGTTACAGTCATGAGTCCCTTCATCATGTATTCCAGTCAAAATCCTTGGAATTTTCTAGATATGGAAGTGATAATGATAAAAGAAGATGTCAAGTGTTTAAGTCCTTTTCATTTAAAATCGATACGGGTTACGCTTCTTCAATAAGAACACGCAACTCGACACGAGATAATATAATATACAAGTGTTACAAGTAAAAAATTTCGTCGAAAGTTATTTTGTCATTTATTGTTCCGAGTACGC